GCTGCTCGGCGAAAACGTGGGTGTAGTAACCTTGTCCGTTGTCGCTCCCATCATCCTCCTCCGACTGCATGGCTTCCCCTGGAACAATGGCAGCCGTGGCAGGGTAGTCAGACTCGGCTGGGAAATAGGAATCTCCACTGTCCACAAGCTGGGGACTGTCGTCATCGACCACAGCGCTCCCAACGCTCCCTGTGCTCAGCCGATCCTCCACCACCTTCACATTGACCGATTGGCTGGCTGCTTCCGCTGGAGGCGCGAGGTTCTCCCCGGAGATTGGCACCACTTCAGTCGCCACCTCTTTGGTGTCCACTTTCTCGGTCAAAGAAACCACCTGCAAAGTGACAAGCCAATATCTTTACTAGGTTAGGGCATAATCTGGGTAGGCTCTCACCATGGCCATGGTATATTCCTACTTTTAGTGCCCTTCTTTTCTTACTAGGGAAGAAATTAGGAGCAAAAGGGGCAGCCTTTTTCTGGACAAATTTTTAAAACCAAAAAGGTGGTGGAGAAGTAGTTGTGGGGTTTGCAGAAGCAGATGCCACATGTGTGTATAGTTTTTTCAATAGTGATACAGAAGTGTGGAATCTGATAGGGATATATAGGAGAGACCCACTACTCTATATAGAATCCCCACAGGTCCAAATCCACCCCCCAAAGCTACATACATGTCCATCATAAAAAAAGGAATATGGATGGGAGCAAAAAACAAATACAGTTCCCTAAAGCAATCAATCACATCATCTGGGAAAGAGCAAGATCAGCTGGCAGGAAGGAACCCATGACTCTCATAATCTTCTCTTTAAGCTTTTCCTACGACTAACTCTTTAGTGGAGAGTGGAGAATTATACTGCTACCACCACCGTTTCTTTTTAACCAAAAGGAAATAGAGAAAAGCTAGCTGCTTTGCTTTGCTCTGATAGATTAGTCCATCTTAGCGTAGGATTGGATGCCAGTTATGAAAAGCAAAGATTGATGATACACTTTAACTCGGAAAAGAAAAAAACAGCAGAAACTTATTAGGGAAGTCCAGATTTGTGGGGGGGTTTTTAGTTTTTACCTCAGATTTGAGCTTCTGGTTCTCCTTGACGACAGAGTCGTAGTTGGAGCGAAGGGAATCGTAGGAAGCCTTGAGGACGTCGTAGTCCCTCTCCAGCTGCTTTGTCTTCCAACGAGCTCTTCGGTTCTGGAACCACACGGCCACCTGCCTGGGCTGCAGCCCTAGCTTCTTGGCCAGCTCTGTCTTCCTCTCCGGCTCCAGCTTGTTCTCTGTCTCAAAGCTCTTCTCCAGTAGATGCACCTTCATTGCACACCAAAGCAAACAAATCCTTGCTCAATATGAAGTAGCGTATAAATAGGGGAAAACATCTAGCATTTCTACAATTAGGAGACACATTTCAGTTCAGAAGAGCTCAACCAGATGAAGAAAGTCTGTTTTTTTGATCGATTCAACCAACCCCAACTCTCAGGCAGTTCTTCTAGGAAACTAAAAACCACCACAGAGTAGCCAGTAAAAGGCAAATTCGTATGCCATGGCTCTCAAATTCCTCTTGTGACAGTATATCAGTCTGTGGCTGAGTAATGGCAAAGAGGAATTTGATACTTGATAAGGGTTGAGAACTTGGGCATATGCCAATTCTTCACATGAGGAATATATAGCCTTTTGGAGCATAAAGAAGCAGATATTCAAATAGTAACCCCACTGGTCGCGTCAATAGGTGATTGGTATGAGTTACCTGCTCTGCTGAGAGGCGGCGTTTCTTCTCCGGCGACTGTTCGTCGTAGTATTCCTCGTCATAGAAGTCCCCCGGCGAGCTAAAGAATGGTCTCCTCTTTGAGGTGTCCTCCATGCTCAACATGGTTCTTTGGCCTTTTATCACAAGAACAATAAATCTCCGTTAAGAAATAGCACTGTGGATTATTTGCATGAACCGATTCGTGTTACTTGAGATCCAAGTTTCAATTTCACATAACAAGTCATAATCTCTAAGTCATCAACAAAAAGAGTGTTTCAAGGAGAAAGTTCTCAATAGATTGGAAGCAAAAGTCAACTCTAGTTAATTGCAACAACAGCCAGATCTTGACGACTGTACTCTACTGAAAATTACTTGCAGAAACGGGAAAAATGAGAAATTAGAAAGCGATGACTCCCGTCCATTTACCTCGGAAAACAGAGTCGCCGCCGCTCCCGAGGAACAGCATGTTTCCATGGCAAGCGGAAGGATCGAAGAAGAGATGGCCCGATTGATGATCCATGCTTCTTCTGCAACTTTGCTGCTACGTCCAATTTCTCTTTTTAGTAATTAGTAGTAACCAGTAGTATATACGATCGGCTTTTTTCCCTCCGTTAAGACCTACCGGCGCTGGGGGAATTTCGGTATATATTTATGTAAAGGGTGGAATGAAATTCAAGGAAGGGGCGATGGATTAGAAGAGCCTGAGCTTGTGGCGGAAGAAGCTGGTACTCCAGAGTAGCCTCGCCGGTGTCTCCAGTGGGCAGATGCAGAACCCCATCGCTTCCCACCGCCGGTAACCCCCCAGTACGGCGACTCTGACTAGCCCCAAAGAGAAAGGGGGGAAACAGAGAATAAAGAGCACAAACGGAGAATGGAGAAATGAACCAAACAGAGTAAGAGAGAGCTGGTCAACACTCACGAAGCCACCAAACCACCATGGCTATCAGAATTGGAAGAGGGATAGAAAGTCAACAACGAGATTAAGTACGTCACCGGAGAATAAGCAAATTCCGGCGACGGTGGCGGTGGAAGGAAATTTACAATGTTCTCTCTCTCTCTGTTCTTTGGCGTGGCGATTTTAGTAACTAGAGTAAGGTTCGGAGCGATGAATCGTCTACGGATTATATATTGGCCGGACTAGAGACGAAATGACGTGAGTAACCTTCGCGGATGGCGTTTGTTCCGCTAAGATTGTGGGGGTGTTTTGGGGATTTCCGTCGGTGGTGGAGAGTTGACTGTTGAGTCCTGATGTTGGCTAACGTGAGCGGTGGGTGAATGTGGGCATTGTCGGATCCTAAACGGGTCAATAAGGTTGTCAAACCGGTTTATGCCAGTGTGCCGGTTTTATAAGTGGAATGGTCTGACCGTGGTACAACAAGTATTCATGCCGGTTGTGCCGGTTTTAATAAAATACATGAGGAAAATGAAAATCCTCAATTCCAAATAAATTAGTCATAAAAAAGCAATTAGAAGAATTATTTCACACAAAATAATTTATAGCTAAGAATTGGTAACTAATACTAAACAATTAGATGCTTAAAAATAAAATTTTATTAATGTTTATAATGATTTGTGTAAAATTTAGTATTAGATATATAACATATAAGGTTAATATAGATAATAAAACTGCTTGTAGCCTACTGGTGTATAAGTTAAACTAAAATGAACAAGAGGTTCTTGGTTCAAATCCTATGAAAGATGTTTATTTTTGGATATAATATGGATAACATTAAATTCCGGTTTCTGGTCTAACCGGCCGGAATTTCCGGAATTGACCGGATTTGACCACACTTAAATACCGGCCCCTTTACAGCCGGTTTGCTGACCGGTACCGGTTGAACCGGCCGGCATGAAACCGGTTTGACAACCACGTCAATTTCTCTCTTCTTCTATTTCTGACAACATTGACGAAAGTTAAAATCTCAATTCCCCTCTCTTGATACGATAAATTTCCCCATCTCTTTGTTTTCAACAGTGTGGAATAGGATAGATCATTTGTAGGCATGAGATATAGCATTTCAAATGCATTTGAAAACAGGTGATCTTCAAACGCCTAAGTTGTTTATATTGCGCCTTTTTCAAAGAATTTTGTTAAGTGGATAAGGAATGGTACTAGGTTAAACTAACTCTATGAAATCATACCGACGCTTGTACCGTACCGCGTCGTATAGAGTATAATCTGGTTCGGTCATTTGGCTCTTGAATTTGATAAATACTTGAAGAAAAATTATCAAAGTGAAATTTGGACTGGATCAAAGCAGATTGAATGCACTGTTTGGTTCGACCCTTGGTCCATAGATGTCTCTTCCTATTGGACCGCTGTTCTCCAAAATTTGGTTCATTCTGGACTAAACCGGATCGTTGCACACCCCTACTTCATATGATATTAACTGTATGTAAACAAGCATTGTAACTTTATAAATTAAGACAATCGTGCATGATAGAAGGTTGACATCTCAAGGGTAATTCGATAACACTAGCTTAGCGTGATTTCGACCTTATGAGATTCGCTTGGCAATTATGGGGGTTTCTCTTTGGAAATAATTAGACAGTTATAAAATGTGAAGTAATTGATTTTATATGAGTATATCATAAATTCGGTTTATGTGGATGCATATCTACGTTTGAGCATTCTATCCTTTATGTCAACTAAAATTTTATAGATAGAGAAAACACAAGAACATGAAGAATATTAGAAGATAGGGGCATCCAATGGAAGTTGGAGTTGTGTTGGCAATCCATGAATCACAATTCACATGGTGGGGTTTGAAATGTTTTGGAGTTGGTTTTCCCCAACATTTTTTAATTTTATTTAGGAATGATGGTGGTAAAGAAAAGAAAAGAAAAGAAAAGGAATATTGTGGGTGAGCTACTATATGTACTGTTGTTAATATAATGTGATGCAATCGTCCCCAGATTATTGATGGTGATGAGTTGCTGTTGAAAGTTTTGTTTATGGGAACTATATAATAGTTCCTTCCACTTATAAGCACTACTCGATGATGTAACTTTTCTAATTTTCTTCTTTCTCCATGCTTCAACATTATAATGGTGGAGAAAACACCAATGAATAGTTGAATCTATCAAGTACAGTCTAGACAATGTTGTAGGCTCTTGAGTGAATATGTGTATAACAAAAACCTATTATGATAGATAAACGCCTATCATATATTAATTTGGGAAAGAAAATCAATGTTCAATAGACCAAGTTGAGGGATCAACTCACCCTGTACCGTATAAAGATCTTCAAATTTTCAACACAAAGTAACGCACGTAAATCAAAATCTTTTGCCGATCTTTACACACACATCACAAATTAAATCACTTGGATCATCCCCCGCCTATCCACAAATTCCTTTATATAAGAAAAGATCAAATAAAAAAGAGTTCAAATCAAAGTCTATATATTGTTGTTACCGATAAAATCTAATAATATTAGCCAAAACACTAAGTGACGTAGTGAGTTGCTATGTAAGATTCTCCCTATATAATCACAATCACTTTACTATCCATTGAAGGTGTCAAGAATTTAGGTAAACTAATAGAATTACAAAAATCATGGAACTCAAACTCAACTCATATGGATTGGCTTAGGGAACATCCATGTAACACAATTTTTTTCGTTTGAACATCCATCTATTGATGTTGTCATTGAAGATGCCGGTGTGACGAAGCTATTACCAGGAAACGAGAGTCGTGTCCGCTCAAATTTTAAATTATTGTTGAAAATATGTATAGCATTTTGTAATATATGACTTAAATCCCTTAAACTTCTTTGTTTGGCCCCTCTTTTTGAATATTTGTATCCGTCACTAATCATTGTTGTTGCTAATGTCTTTGAATCAAGACGAATTGTCATAGTTATGCTTTCATATTTTGCAACTTGAATTGATATTCCGCTATTAGCCAAAATAAGGTCAGCCCTATAAGAAAAGTTTCATCATTGAAGCTCATAATTAATGCGGAATGGATATTCAGATGTATTAGTTTAGGGTAGTATATGAGTGTTGTCAATCTAATGGAAATGAAAGATTCAAAGAATGTAACCATGCTTGCAAGCTTTATAATAATTAATAAAATACATAGAGAACCTATTCCTAGTTATCAATTATCACCAATCAGATTATGCCACTGAATGAAGCCAATATCGGGGCTTGAAAAGTGACATGATTTATTAATTAAAATCCAGAAAATTATCATTTTAAATTTTAATTAAGAACTCAGCAGGTGTGCTGTATGTGGTGGCTTCTAATGTGTCCTTGTCTCTTGCTTTAGAAAATTGCTCATACTGCAGAACCACGTCCCAGAGAATCCAACTCTTTGTTCTCTAATTATGATAGTGGCAAGAAAATAAAATAAATATAATCCCACTAAATAAAATTATTATCTTGAGTGATAAATAAAAATAATTGATTTAGTTTTAGTCAACTAAATTTTGAAAATGCAAATTGTTGCATATCATCATCCCACCGTTTCCCCAACCTAATCATCTTCTTCCACATGTATGCTAATAGATCATCAATCTAGATGTATCACTGAGGACATAACCTAAATTTTGAATTAATCAATTTGGATCCCATGAATTTTCAACCTTCCACTTGTCTTCACTTTAAATATAATTGTCATGATAAAAAAAAAAATTTTGATATCAATCGAGAATCACGAACATTTATCGATATTTTGACATATCCTCCTAAAATTCGAGACTACCATAAATTCAACTTACCATATTGAGGTTTGGAATAAATTTTTTGTGGTCTGATCTTAATCGGAGTTTATGCAGGTAAGAAACAATTGTTATGTGGAAAAGATAATATAAGATTTTGGTTCGACAAAATCAATTATAATTGAAATGTTGAAAATTGGTAAAAAAAAAACTGTGCGTGTGTTGGACAGGTGGCCACACAAAAGGATTAAATTGTGGGGAATATTTCTACCATCACCATCAGCGCATAGAATAGTTTAAAATAAATAATATTAAAATAAAAAGAAGAACCTCAAGAAAAATGAAATCAAACTAATGATTTTCCATCCTTTCAATGCCCATTTTACACATAAGCCCAACCCAATCCTGCCTTGATTGGGCCCGAAGCGAACTCAGCCAAATTTCCGGGCCCACGACGGGCTCCTTCTGCTAACCATCTTCAGTGTACAGTCGGCGCTGGAACTTCCTCCGCCATCATTTGACATTTCGCTCCCTCTTCTTCACCCGCCGTCCGGCGATAAGGTCGTAGTAGTCTCCCATCTTGTGGAAGGTGCTGCCACTTGGCCTACTCTCTGCCGCTTCTCTCTACTTCATCTTACTTTTCATCATTTCCCTGGCCTGAAACTAATTTTCTCTGTTGAATTTCCAAGGATTTTGGGCGTGCTAGTTGTAGAAATTGTTATTTTGCTGAGTAAGATAAATTGACCAAATTTTCTTGGTTTTGGTTGGGAATTTATGGATTTCTCCAGCCAGGTTCTCATTGATTCGCATTTCATGATGAAATTTCAGTAGCCCACGAGAGAGAATATTTGCAAAATGGTGCTGACAGGAGCGGAAACTGCTTCCACTTTTCTGCTTCTTGGGTTTCATGGGGCTCTTTGTCCTCGTATTCCAAGTTTTAGTCAAGGGATCAATCTCCATCAACTTTCTAGAAATGGAAGGTTTGTGTTTCGTCAAGAGCAGAAATGGCGTGCTTCTACAATGAGAACTCGGGTTGTTGAGTCGAATGAGGCATTGGCGTTGGAGACGTACGGCGGAGTTTGGGAAGACCCTGATGATGGAAGTGAGAGTGATTATGATGATGGTGAAGACGAAAATGGAGCAGTGGGAGGGACTGGGACTGATGATGAGAGTGAGTCAAGGGGAGGAGGAAGTGATGCTCAAATGCCTAATACTACTGCTTCAGAGACATATGAGGAAGATCTTGCAAAAGGTAGTGCCTTTATTTTCCCCCATGTCCTAGCTATCTCAGTGAGAGAGAGTACATTTCCCTCTCCAGATTTTGTTGATGCACAGTGATGAACTAGTTGAAGTTCAGCATGATGTGATCAGTGTGTTGATTTCTTTCTATCAGCCCCCAAGCATCTGTAGCTTAGTGAAAATGGTTATGAAAGTAGGATGGTGAGGTGTTAGAGCATTATTTGGGCTTCATGTTTGAAGCAAGCATTCCTGGTCTCTGCAATTTCAAATAGTTTGTCCTCGTGTGAACTGAATCATATTCATGGTAGACTGATAGACAGACGCGGAGCTAGTAGTTACTAGGCTAGATTTACGTTGCGTGATCAGCCGATGTCCCTTACAGACCTGTTCGGGGTCAATCCATTTTGGCGTAATGCTTGCATTTTGTTACAGAATTTCCATCTCTAAAGGTCTTCTTATGCAGTAGTTGCTGCATTGCCTGTACTGTTTCTTGTGATCTCGAAATCGTACTGAGAAGTTTAGATGCATTCTTTTGATTGTCTCAGAGGTTGAACAGCTTCTAACACCAGAAGAAAGACAGATTTTACAAGAAAATGAAACACCTAATCTTGGAAGAATATCAACGGTAAGTTATGCAGAACTTTGAGCAAGGTCTTTGTTTGTGAAAACTTATGCACTCTTTCTATGCCAAATGCTTAGTCTCTTGATTGTCTATGTCCTGTGATTATCAAATCAGGCAAAGTGGAAGCCACTGCAGACTCTTGCACTGTCAGGCCAGATAAGACACATGGACAAACTGGTCAAACATGGACTCGATATTGACAATGTTGATAAGGTAACACGTTTTATCAAATTGGCAAGTAATTTACCACCTCCTTCTTTCCCTTCCCTGAATATATATATGCCTACGGCTAAATAACAGGATGGCAGGACTGCTCTGCATAAGGCTGTGATTGGGAAAAAAGAGGCTGTGATCAGTCATCTCCTCCGAAGAGGGGCCAGCCCACATATTAGAGACAAGGTGAGGAACTAAGGATACAGGTTTTCAATGGGTCTAGAAGCTTTTTATTAGTCCAACGTAAAAAAAAAACTCGGACACCTCAGTTGGTGATTGGTTAATCCAGGATGGAGCTAGCCCTCTGCACTACGCTGCGGAAGTTGGTGCCATCCAGACCGTGAAATTGTTGATCAAGTACAAAGTTGATGTCAACGCCACAGATGAAGTAAGTAACCTGACTTTTCAATTGGTGTTAGGTGGTTGATCTGTTCATTCACCAACATAAACTCTTCTTGGTTGTTGCAGGAAGGGTGGACACCACTGCACATTGCAGTGCAAGGTAGGAACAGAGATATAGCGAAAGTGCTTCTGGTAAATGGCGCGGATAAAACAAGAAGAAACAAGGTTTACTTATTAGTCTTTGCCCCCATTACACACCGAGTACAGTATAGTAGAGTAGTAGCTAATGACAGTCAAGTATCTCAATGTTGCTTGTTTTCATTTTTGGTTTCAGAATGGGATGACAGCATTGGATATAGCATTACGATATGGGAGAGACTTCAAGTCTTATGACCTTGCCAAGCTGCTGCTGATATTACCAGCTAACAGAGATCCACTGTAATCAAACAACCATTATGAAGCAGCAATTATATATTTGGAATGGAGGAGTTTCTGAATGGTGAGTCAGTTGTTGGCTCAAACTGAGTTCTTCTGTGCAGATACGCTCATGATCACAAAAATCGCATATTCTTGTAAAGAAAGGTGGCAACCTAGATTTCTCACAAACCCATTGGCAGAAAGAAACAGGAAGCTGACAGAACAGAAGATCATTGTAAGGAAATGGATCTCTCGATATTGTTCAGTTGTTATTTCAAGTAGATTCAGATGATAAATGGAATGGGGCAAGGCATTGAGAAGATCGTTCTATTTATGTCAAATACCACAAAGAATATGAAGGATGAAAAACAGCGACGAACAGATACTTGTAAGGAGAAGCTGGCAACAAAAATTCCTCACATAGGAAGAAAGGGGGACCTGACCTGACCAGACAGACTCATCATAATTCATAAGGGGAAAAGTGGCAGTAAGGCGTAAATAAGAGAAAAGTCAGGGCCAGAATTGGAGCCAGGCGTAACTAACTGGAAGGAGCCCGTACGCCGCGTCTTCCTTGTTTTCCGCTGTCGCGCCATGCAGCGCCGCCTGCACTGCTCTGCTCACAGTACGTACACTCAAAAATATTCGCACCTGTGCTTAATTTCCTCCTCCAATCCGTAACAACAACAATAATAATCCGATAAATGGTAAACAAAAATTAGCATGATTACAACCAAAATGGACACATAATTATCATAAATCCTCTTTTTATTATTTTCATCTAGGTGGAAATGGATAAAACTTAGGGCCTAATTAAAACTTGATCACCAAGGTCAACTAATAAATTAATAAATATTATTAAACTAATCGGGAAAGCAAGCCAGAGTTTCTGTTCTATCTGACTTGGAAGATTAATTTTCGGGGAACAAAACAATAAATAATTTTCGAAAATAATAAATCCGACTCGCCTTGGAGGATGAATCTGATCCAATCCACCTTGGATTATTTACGGGGGCGGTAAACCAGGATACATGTGAATATTTTTACAGCTGTAATTCCAAGCAGGACCAGGACTCTCTCGCACTCGATATATATTTGCCTGCAAATATTGCTCTTCACCCCTCCAATCCCAGTCCCAGACTTATTATTACTTCTCTCTCTAGCTAGCTAGCACCGCCTTTTGTCTTTGTAGACTCGCGAAGAAGAAGAAGATCACGATGGTGAACGCAGAGCTTGCTCGTACAGTCGTCGGCATTATCGGTAAGTGAATCAATCGTTCTCCGATTCCGTTCTCTTTCTCTTTTCTTCTTCGACCGAACAGTTTATATTTTTGCCTGCTATTTTCTACTGATCGATTCGATCATCTCTCTCTACATTGATCTTTATTTCAATACTACTGCTCTTTCCGATTGCTTCGAAGTTGCTTTGATTGATGCGATTCCGTTCCTTGCTTGCGAAAACTAGCTAGCTATTTCGTCGTCTTGTTAGTAGTAAACGAGTACTGTTGAATTCGCCGGCGAGCAGTCCAATCATAACGCTGCTCTATTTATCTTCTTGTAAATCTGCCCGTGCTAAATTTCCTACTGTTTTCCTGCAACGATTCCAATTGTTATTACGTTGTTTAGAGAATCAGTTACTTAATTGATTTCCTTTTCTTCCCTCTCTTAGCCTAATTTTGTAGTTTCAGTAGTAGTAGATTTCTTTTACTCGTATCGATCTGTTTGGCTACCGAGAAAATCCGCGATCGATTTTCCTCCCCCTGTTTGGCTACTCGGAATCCGATTTTGGTGCTCCGATTTCCATCGAAACGCAGCGTTTCAGCCGCTATTGTCAATTAGAGTTTTTATCTCTATATGACTCAATCTGGACTCGTTTGTCTTATTCTGTCCGCTTAATTGCGCAGGAAACGTCATCTCTTTTGGACTCTTCCTCTCCCCTGTGTACGTAATCATTCCTTTTCGTCTCCCTTAATCTCGCTGTCCCGATTCATTAATTAAATAGCTAATGATGAATTGAAACGTTAACGGATGGATGAATTGAATAATTCACAGGCCGACGTTCTGGAGGATATGCAAGAAGAAGGACGTGGAGGAGTTCCAGCCGTACCCGTACATCGCCGCCGTGATGAACTGCCTGGTGTGGGTCTTCTACGGCACCCCCGTCATCACCCCGAACAGCGTCCTGGTCGTCACCATCAACTCCATCGGCCTCGCCCTCGAGCTCATCTACCTCTCCATCTTCGTCTTCTACGACCGCCACAACAAGGGCCGCAAGAAGGTCTTCCTCGGCCTCCTCGGCGAGGTCCTGCTCTTCGGCGTCATCATCGCCGTCGCCCTCGCCGGCTTCCACACCCAGCACTCCCGCAACATCACCGTCGGGATCGTCGCCGACGTCTTCAACATCATCATGTACGCCTCCCCGCTCGCCGTCATGGCCAAGGTGTACAAGACCAAGAGCGTCGAGTTCATGCCGCTCTGGCTCTCCGTCGCCAACTTCGCCAACGGCAGCATCTGGACGGCCTACGCTCTCATTCACGGGATCGACTGGTTCATTGTGGTACGTTACGGTAGATTATTAACATTGTCGTTATTGATTAGTTTATAATCAGAACTCGAAGCACATGCTAATTAATCATCGATTGATGATCAATTGCTTTGCAGGTGAGCAATGAGCTGGGAGCTATCTTTGCGGTGGTTCAGCTGGTGTTCTATGCCTACTTCTCCACCAAGTACGGTGGTGCTTCCAAGCCGGCGGAACCCAAGTCGGAGGTCCAGCTATCTGACGTCACTACCACCGTTTGAAGTCCAACATGATCGATCACACGTCAACCATCGTTGTCATCCTCATCGGAACTGCCTCGTTTCATTCAGTCCATTTATGACTTGTTACTCACTTTGGTGGATTTTCGACTTCTTATAGATTTTTACGGTTAATTCGGCTGTAACTATGCGGATGTTACATCGATCTTCTAGGCTAGCTGTCAATATATGTGATTGATTTTGTTGACTCTGGTAAATTGGTAATGATCAGAGGTTCAGGATTGTGTCAAAGTGAATATGATAGGGATAAATGGTAACAAACCTTTGCACTTAGTACAAAACGGTCACAAACTTTTAATTTTTAACAATACGGTAACAAAACTTTGAAATTGTATAAAATGGTCAACGCTATTTAATTTGTGATCGTTTTGTTTTAAGTGCAAAGGTTTGTTACCGAATCGTTACAAATTAAATGTTTGTCATGTTTTGAGGTCGGGTAGTTTGTTCGTTAAGTATATGACATTAACCACTTGAACGACATATAAGATGTCAGGTCATGTGTTCATCGACATATTTGCTTTGCCGAATAAGAATGGCCTCAGTTGACCTTTGAATTTCGATACCAAGAAAGTAAGAAAGTAGACAGAGTTTTTTCAACTAAAAAGCAGTCTGGAACCGGTTTGTGAGCCATTGAATTCTTTCATTGTCATCCTTTATGACGATCATATCATTCATATACATTAACAAAACCACCATACAACTAGAGCGAATTGTAACGGTGATTGATCGTTCAAACTTTTGAACTTAATTTGTACAAAACGGTCACCAAAAGTCTAATTTGCAACGATATGGTAACAAAAGTTTGAACTGGTATGAAATGGTCACACTGTTTAATTTGTGACCGTTTTGTTCTAAGTAAAAAGTTTTATTATCAAATGGTTACAAATTAAAAGTTTGTGACTGTTTTGTACTAAGTGCAAAGGTTTGTGACCATTTATGCTAATTACCCGGATTTTGTTTGCCTCTTGGTTGGTAAGGCCTACGGTATCTACCGGCCTATCAGGCCCAATTCGTAGTGGGAGCCCAGCCCTTATCGCATCCCACCACCGGAAACGGCGGCTCCGAGGGGGGAAATGTTGACGGCGACCCGGAAAATGCTATCCGCTCGACCGCTCCCTTATCCCAATTGTGAGGGGAGGATGCTACTTTCCGACCCCGCCTTCTAATTCTTCAAGCGAAGCAGCCATTACTGCCTTATCTCCTACTTTCTCTCTCTTCCTCTATTCTGCGCAGATCTATCCGCCAAACCAAATGCTTCTTCTTTAGCTCCATTTCCCTTTTGGACTCTTCCTGTTTCCCCCCCACCATTCTGTTCGTACTCCACTGCCACTTCCCATGGCGGCTGCAGCAGCAGGAGTGTCAGTCCGGTGGCACTATTCCTCATCTTTCCCCGCCACACCTAGAACCCACCACAATCGCTTCCTTCCAAATCACAGCACCACTTCACTCTCCTTCTACAGCAAGCGCCTAGCTCCGGTCGTTTGTTCACTCAAGAGCTCTGATTCAACGGTGAGCAGTACTCCGAATTTGGAGTTCAAAGTTTTCAACTTTCGCGGCAAAGGGTTTAATCGGTGTTTTGATTTTTGCGGTGGGGGCTTTTGGTTTCAGGGGAGGGAGGGGAAGTCGTTCTCTTTCAAGGAGTGTGCAGTTTCGTTTGCTCTGGCGGTCGGGTTGATAACTGGGGCGCCTTCGATGGCGGATTGGTGTCCCGACGCGAATGCTGTTGCTGTCAATCCGGCATTGCCTGATGTTGCCGTGTTGATATCCGGGCCGCCAATTAAGGACCCTGGTGCATTGTTGAGATACGCGCTGCCAATTGATAACAAGGCCATCAGGGAAGTTCAGAAGCCGCTTGAAGATATCACTGACAGTCTCAAGATTGCTGGGCTCAAAGCTCTTGATTCTGTTGAGAGAGTAAGGCAGCTGCAGAACCTTTAATGGTGGCTTTTTGTTTCCTCGTGCTCTTCGTTGATTGATTGTATTTTTGTTTGTGAAAATGTAGAATGTGAGGCAGGCATCTCGAGCTCTCAAGCAGGGGAAGAGTTTGATAATTGCCGGATTAGCTGAGCCAAAGAGGGCGCAAGGTGGGGAAGTGCTTGACAAGCTGGAAACTGGGCTTGATGAACTCCAGCAGATTGTGGAGAGCAGGAACCGAGATGGCGTGGCGCCTAAACAGAAGGAGCTACTTGATTATGTTGGAAGGTGAGAGTTTTGTTTCGCACATTTGATTGTGTTTTGGTTTCAAGATGCCGTCTTTCTAATAGTTTTCATGGATCAAAATAGCATGAGCTGCCTAGTAAAATTGAGTTGGTTATGGAATATTGTTGGTTGCTTTCAGCATTTTGTGTCAATGTTTACTAGTTAGTAGACAAGAGAGGAGCGCGTTGAAGATTGTATATAGATTGGATCATGTTTAATCATGACGTCCATGAATTAGCTACCGAATTCATATTGTGCAGTGAAGACTGATAAAAAGAACCTAGAGTCCATATAAGAACTCATAGATACCCTTGTCCATTGACTGCAGCTGAGATCTTCTTCCTGGGGCATTGGATTTCTCTGCAGTGTTGAAGAGGATATGGTGAATGGCTTCCCCTACGAAGTGCCTGAAGAATACAAAAATATGCCTCTCTTGAAAGGTAGAGCAACTGTGGATATGAAGGTCAAGGTTAAGGACAACCCAAATCTCGAGGACTGTGTGTTCCGCATTGTCCTAGATGGTTACAATGCGCCTGTAACAGCAGGAAATTTTGTGGACTTGGTTCAGAGGCACTTCTATGATGGCATGCAAATTCAGAGGGGTAAAGTTTATACAAAACCAACAGTTTCGCATTCTTTCCAGTTTTGAAGACATATCTGGGCCTAACTTGCTGACATGTCCTTTGATCATAATCCCAGCGGACGGCTTTGTTGTTCAAACTGGGGATCCTGAAGGTCCCGCAGAGGGTTTCATTGATCCTAGTACAGAGAAGACTCGAACTATTCCTCTAGAAATCATGGTGGATGGAGAGAAAGCACCTGTCTATGGCGCAACTCTGGAAGTAAGGGTTCTTGACGCCATACTTTTTCGAATCTGTCTCCCAAACCTACTCTTTACTTATTTTACAGAAGGCTTATGGTCAGGCTCTTTTCCACTGTATTGGTTGCAGGAGCTTGGTTTATATAAGGCTCAAACGAAGCTTCCATTCAATGCATTCGGAACAATGGCAATGGCCAGAGATGTGAGGAGCTCAAATCATATGAATGGAAGGCATCATTCCTCAACTCTTTTATATGCTCTAATGGTTAACATTCATTTGTTTGCAGGAGTTTGAAGACAACTCAGCTTCAAGCCAAATCTTTTGGCTGCTGAAAGAAAGTGAACTCACTCCTAGCAATGCAAACATATTGGATGGGCGATACTCAGTGTTCGGTTACATAACCCAGAATGAGGACCTTTTAGCAGATGTGAAAGTTGGTGATGTAATCGAGTCAATGCAAGTGGTTGCTGGCCTTGAAAATTTGGCCAATCCAAGCTACAAGATTGCAGGCTAGAGCTATAGACCTCTATCGCTTTTCAGCTTCTTAGAAATACCCTGAGTTCTCTTCACAGGTAACAGTGCACTTTCGAGCTTGAGAAGATCCTCTTATGAGTTATGATATTTTTCCTGAGAATGTAATATCATCAGCATTCGTTTCGGTCCAACTTTGAGGAACATTATTCTTTCATAGCATAAGCGTATAAGATTCGTCGTACGTCCCTTTGTTGTAACCTGTTTCTTTGAGACTACTCTTAGCTTTTAGCAAAGCTCTTCTGTAACAATAACTTCTGTAAAGTAAAGACCGAATTCTCATGAAATAGAATCCTTGTTGGGCTAGGATTTCTGTTATGGTTGGAACTAAACACCAAATTTTCTAGACATGAGATTCTTGTCTGGTTAGGCATTCTTGATGAATGTCAGTAGGTCTAAGGCAGAAACCTAGGTGTACTTATATGATAAGAAAAGGTTGTAGAAATCATCAACTGACAACTTACATGAGTTTTTATGAAGCAGAGCTAGAAAAAAAAGGACTTTACAGTATATTCCAAAGCAGTCACCATCACAAATGAGATGAAGCAATTTCCATTTTCATGGGCCTCGATGCCTACGGAAGCAGAGGCAGCTCTGAGGCTGATGATCCCCAGGTATCATCCCTCCACCTCTCGACGTGTCAATTGCTTCCAACATCATAACGACCTCCTCCATCTCGGGCCTCTTGTCAGGGTTTGCATCCCAGCATCGCCTCATCACGTTTGCCAGTGAGCTAGGGCAACACCTCGGTATCTCGGGCCTCAGGTTCTGCCGAACGACAGCCGACGTCATTTCTGAGAAACTGAGGTCAGGGTATGGCATGTCACAACAGTATATCTCCCAGAGACAAATGCCATAGCTGTACACGTCACACTTTCTGTTGTACGGATTTCCATTCAGAACCTCGGGTGCCATGTATCCTAGGGTCCCTGTTTCTCCTGTCATGTCATTGGGGTTCGAGGCCTCAAGGCGAGCCACACCGAAATCGGCAATCTTGATGGTCCTCGACTTGTCAAGGAGCATGTTCTCCGTTTTCACGTCCCTGTGGACGATCTTCATCTTGTGTAGGTAGCTCAACCTGAAAGTTTCCCAAGTTAAGCTAGGTACATAACAATACCAACAACAACATACTGTGAGAGAGAGTTGAGAGAATGAATAACCCTCTGGCAAGATCGAGTGCGATTTGGACGACCACTTTAAAGGCTAGCTTCCTTCGTCTATTCTTGATGAGATAAGTCTTGAGAGCACCACCGGGGCAGTACTCCACTACCACACAACATATATTGCTTGGCATACCCATGTGTCCATTCTCAGTTTGTATGTTTAGACTTGCTGATCCGATGGTAGCCCCTATGAACTGCACATGTTTGTCGACCAAATTGAAAATCAAACTCGCTGATATTAACCGTTTAGCAAAATCGTGCATGAAACATTATAAAATAGTATCAACATGATCGTTGGTATGTGCCATTAACCTATACCGACGATATGGTATCACAAAAACACGAACAATGTCGAGTAAGTAAGAAAAGTACCTTGGTGACATTGGGGTGATCAAGCTTGTGCCAGACAGCTACTTCTTGAGTAAAAGCAGCCCTTAGTGATGCTATTTCTGCATCTGATCTGTGACCTTCTTCTCCCCAGTCAAGCAGCTTCACTGCCCAACCCAATGAACCAACCACAACGAGAGTGAGTTCATTTCCATCATTAGAACCCTTTTTTTATCCAAACAGCGAGAAAAGTGAATTTTTAATTACTCTTTTTCATGAAAAAGGTACCCAGAAGAGATTTTAAAATATAAAAGCTTGGGAAACCCGTCGATGATCTCGTGAAAAAAAGAAATCACGGATCCTGTAACAGGATTCATCTGGATAACACCAGGGAAAAAGCTATGCCCCTGTTTGGCTGCCGAGTGCCGAGAAAAAGAAAGATCATGGTTCACGGAAAGGCAATCCTCTACCGCGCGGATATATCGTAGCTAAGATTAGAGTAGTTTGTTAATAGGTTGATCTGATCATACACGAAAAACTAATAACCCCTAATGAAATTCAAACCGATCATTGATATCGCTAATTCAATATAGTTCTTGAGCAATTACCACTTCCCTAAAGCCTAAAGACATCAACCTGGAACTTTTGAAGTTACCATATCGCATTACGCTAGAAGTTATCTTGGTAATATCTTCATTCAGAACTGATTTTTCATTTTAGAACGGATAGAGTAAATGGAGAAATAGTGAGCCAAAAAAGAGCAGTGATCACAGAGTGGTAATATATTACTGACCAGCAACATCGAGGCCGTCGTAAATGCCACGGTGGACGGTGCCGAAGGTGCCACGAGCGATGACGGACTTGATGATGAGCTTGGCCGGGTCAATCTCCCATTCGGGCCTCCGCCCAGTTACCACAGCGGGGATGGCGGCGGCAGAGTTGAAGGTGGCAGAGGCAGAGGCAGAGGAGGTGAGAGGCAGAGGAGGAAGAGGTGGATGAAGCAATCCGCTGCCACCCTCGGACCTGGTGGAGGCAGAATTGTTCTTCTGATCCGTAGTCCAAGCGCGAGAGAGATGGCGCTGCAGCTGCTCGTCGAGGCTCTTGAGGTCTATCTGATCAGCTCTCACATACCCTCCACCGCCACCACTCTCGCTCTTCTCCTTCATGGCTCTCATCACTTGTTCTGTTTCTCTCCTCTGTTCTGTGTGTGGCTTTTCTCAGAGTTCTTCTGTGTTTCTCCTTATTTCTTGTTCTTCTGGTGATGGAAGGAAGTTGAGAGACATCAATGAATAAATGGGGAAAGAGAAAGCAGAGGAAGGAAGATGGATGGATGGTGCAGCAAGAAGACTGGTGTGGTGGTGGATGTCCGTGTTGCTATTTATATGCTGGATCCGTATATACTATGCCACAATGGATCGAGGAGGACATCATAGTAATGCAACTAACTGCCCTTTACTTCATGTGTTGTACAATTTAAATTTCGTTTGGTTTTTTTCGTTTAACGATTTCATGCAAATTCAAAACATGGTATAATATTGTATCGTATACATAATATATACACATTTCATCTTTTTAATTTATTCATCGGGGAAGGCTAAGTCAACCACATACTTTATTAGGAGACTTGAAACTATCATTTAAGAGGGTTTTAAACACAAACATTTCACACCGAACTCGAGTGTCAATCGATTGTAGACTTGTAGTTGTGGTTAGTTTCTTCCTTTTTGTTGGGTATTATAATCTCACATATCCAAACCTCCAAGTGTATGTTTGCTTAACTAATCTCATTCGAATTGTTGTGATAATGAACTACGTAATTATTCCCAAGGTACATACGGGATATCTGCGACTCTTGATGAACTTCATCATTATATGCTTTTTTTTTTGGATGAATTATTATAAGTTGTTGAATTTCATATTCATAAATCTGTATTTTTTAACAATTTTTCGCTTCAACTTTCACCCCAATAAAAGTCCGGTGAGTCGGGGTTTTAGGAGGCGGGTCTTATGAGCTTTTATTGATGGGCCAAGATCAGGTGACTAAGGGGGGGTCCCTTAGTCACATGACTAAGTGAATCTCAGCCCTTACACCTCATTAAAATCAAATGGCTCAAACTAATCAAATTTAATGAAGGACAATATAGTAATTTCAAGATTATTTTATTTACCAATTAAAATAAAAAATACAGCCTGCGGGCACCAGCTCCCTTCTCCTGCCCGGCGGCATGACCTTTTTTCCAGTCCCGCCGGTGGTCCTTCTCTCCGACACTGACGACGATGTGGGGAAAATTCTTCGGCGGCTTTCGGCGTGGGCATGTTCCTAGGGGGGAGGGTGGCCATTAATTCCATTCTCTCGAAAGCTCCTAGAAGAGAGAGAGTTTATGGGAATTATTTCTGTACGCGAGAGAGAGAGTTTATGGGAATTATTTGGGGACGCGGAGGGAGAGAGAGATTTTCTGGTCGGAAATTTTTTTTCCCGGCGACCATCCTCGACGGAGAAGAATTTTCCAGCAACAGTGCTTTGTGATGTTTGTTGACATATTTCGTAATGTTTGTACGCTTTGTTATTTTGTAATGTTTGTAAACTTTGTTATTTTTGTGCACCATGTTTATCATTTTTGTCAACCATGTTTGTAATGTTTTTATGTCTAAAAAATTACCTGGTTGACTTTTGGATGGAACTTCTCTATATAGGGATGGAGCCTCCAAAGTCAACCCGGGTGTTTTTTCCAGTTCGTATGGATTGTCGGTCTAGTTTGTCATTTTTGTCCACCATGTTCGTACTGTTTGTATGTCTAAAAAACACCCGGTTGACTTTGGGAAGGAGCCCCTCTATATAGGGATGGAGCCTCCAAAGTCAACCTGGTTGTTTTTTCTTTTTGTATGGTTTGTATTGTTTGTCGGTCTAGTTTGTATTTTTTGTACAGTTCATATATTTGTAATGTTTGTAAATCTGTTTGTAATGTTTGTAAATCTGTTTGTATGTTTTGTCGCTCTAGTTTGTACTGTTCGTATGTTTGTATGGTTTGTACTGATTACAAGTCCGGTTTGTATACTTCGTAATTTTCCATAATACCAAAACTACCCATATCATTAATTAAATAGCTCTTCCAACTTTTTAACCATCAGATTGATGTGTCCAAATCTAAGAGATGAAAGTGGCATAGTCAAGTGACTGAGCACCCCCTTAATCACCGGATCCGCACTCTTTATCGATGGCATTGGAGGGGGACGTATGGGTATGAGGCAGTCAGGGCATGTGGGCACATGGACTTTAATCGTATGTTCCTTCTTCCCTACCCACTTCTTCTTCTTCAGTGTTCCCTTCTCTTCTATCTTATCCTTCTTCCAAACTTACACATTCCTTCTTCCTTTTCCTTCTGATCATATGGACTTATTCCGATGCCATTAATCTACTAAGTTGGTTCTGTGCCAGAAGCTTGCAATTGGGAGGAATGCTATGGGCAATCTGCTGCGGTTTATTTCAAGGCTGCATTGTGTTGCTATGTTTATATATACACATATGTTTTCGGTTTTATTCTAATTCGGTAGTCTTTTTCATTCCATTTCGAATTAGAATTTGGATGTTTTGTTTAGGGTTTAAAGAATGTGATATATATCTTCTCATCACTCTATAACATGTAATTTCCTCAAATATAGTGAAAATTGATCTCTTTAATCCGTAGAGTAGTTATCACACATCGTGTCAGTGAACCACAAAAAATTGTGTATTTTTAATTAATTTTTAGCATTGTGGGTTTCATGTTCTGTTACAACCATGGTTTGTGAAACCGTAGTGGAGATTGTACCAGGAAAATCAATGGTAGGGTAAATTTTACAGTGAACTCGTGGTTTAACCGTATTTCAACCGTTAATATCATTAAATACCGCCTACCAGTTTAACTACAGGACTTGTATTTTGCGGTTGAACCACAAATATGGTACGGTTTCGCAAACCATGGTTAGAACACATGGGAAATGAAGATGTTAATAAGGAGGAAAACAGTTCTCACGAACAAACATTTCGGTCTTGTTATTCATCATCTCACTGACACCATCAATTGATTATCGTTCTTGTTTTTCGTCAACTTTCTCATTCTGGAGGGTTGATTAGTTCACATGTGATGATGTTAATCACATGACTGTTGGACTCAAATGTACTACTTCATGATATTGAAGTTTTGATAATCTTATTCATTTGTTGATCAGTTTTTCTTTTATGTAAAATTGCAGTAAGATATTATCAATATACCATACGAGCGTACAAGATTTTCAAATACTTTGATACTATTGAGATAACAACATGATTCTAAAGCGATATAATGTTACCTTTTTGTAGTTTTGTATCGTTCATTTAGTTTGTAGTAGTTATTATATTATTAATAAGAAGATACTTTTGAACCTTTTATGTGCTACTTCAGTGCACTTACTTTTTTGGGTGCACTAAATGCACCCAACTCTAAAAGTGGGCATAACACAACAAATTTGAACTTTAATTGGTAACATTAGTCTAATATGATAGCATAACATAGAATCACAACTAATCAATCCATTACTCTAAGTCTAACCCCTTAACCCTCAATTTTGGATCTTAACCCAAAACCCCATATCGTAAACCTAAACCCTAACCCTAAATTCATAATCCCCAAATCATTCAAATTAAAGTAAATCTTGAATGATTTTTGTACAAATTCATGTGTGTCTTGTCCATCATACTACAAGTGACGATTGACATTGTTTCACTTGAATCACCTGCTAAGAATGACGATTATGAGGCGAGTGCATTGAATGTACCAAAAAAAGTGGGTGCACCGAAAATGCCACCATATATATATAGGCTAACCTATGTCTGATTTATACTAATTTTGTTGTATGTCTAATGAGTTTTTGAGCATTGTATGTCTGATTTATACTATTACGATCGGGAATGGATTCAATTTTTGAGCATTGTGTTATATGGGAATTGAAATCTTACACTAGTTAAAAAATTTGACTTGAAAATATGTTCTACATAGGGATATGGCCATGATGAGATATTTATATCCCGATTCAATTAATCTAATGGATTTAGGCACCATATGACAAAAGAAAAAAGAATGAATATGGCACTAAAAAGTGAAAACAAATATTTTATCAGGGCGCGCTGGAGAATTACCAACTTCGGTCTCACGGGCCAAACCCAATTAAAAAACTCGGCCCATGAGCCTATAACTGCTATTCCTCGTTGTGGATAACGTATATAAACGTGCGGCTGATAAACCACGGGGAAATCAAAGATTAACCCGCCACATATGCTTTCACAGCCATGGTGGTGACTACTCCGACATCACCTCCTTCATCCCTATCTTCCATTTCGCCATTACTGCAAAGCTACCAGCACAGAATCTTCGTAAACTACGCAGTACCCAGAATTCGGCACTCGCAGAATTCGAATGGATTACTCTCCGTCAGAGCTTACATGGAGAACCCCAACTCCATCTCCGGCTTCGCCAACAAAGTCATCGGTTCCCTCCCCGTTGTCGGTCTCATAGCCAGAATTATCAGCGACGAAGGCGGAGTCGGAAGCGACCTCATCGATTTCGCGGAGTTCAGAAGGAGGGTCGGCAAGAAATGCACCATTATGGACTCCAGAGCTTTTGTCGAGTTCAAGGACAGGCGCGGCAAGGTAATTCTGCTTGCCCGTCTGGTGTTCGATCATTTGCTGCAATGAAATTTGATTCAAGTGTTTTCTCGTCCTTGTAGGCAGGGGATCCTCTATATGTTCTGCTTTGCTGTTGGGTGGCGGCTGTAGGTGCAGGGCTCCTGAAATCTGAAGAGATTTTGGAAGGGGTAGCAAGACTTCGGATTTCCACCGATATTGAATTCGAAGAGCAGAGTTTCATTGCTTTGATGGATGCAGCGAAAGAGGTAAGACTCAGACCTCCAGAAACAATAGAACTGGAATCTGTTAGTTAGTTATAACTCACCTGGACTAAATCTTTTTGCTGCACATTGTGAAACTGTAGCGACGATCAAAGTCGAAAGGGGCAGCGCCTTTTGTTCCGATGGAGGCCCGAGCAGAGAAGGCGTTAGATGCAATTTATGTTTGTTGCTTTGGGAAGGATCCTATAGAAGAGGAAGACAAGAGACTTCTCAGTGTAATGTTGGCAGCGGTTTTCCCATTGGTTAAGCCGAAAGAGATAGAAAGGATTCTTGAAGAGAAAGCAACAAGAGTTGCTGAAGGTTTGGATGTGATGGATGTCCCAGAGGCCAAACAGCTGACCAAAGAAGCTGTTCAATTGCAGATGAAAGATCTCCAGTTCCTTCAGCAGAACAATGATAGTTGAAAATTATTTGCAAGTGTGGATGTTGAGAGTTCTTGATTGAGCATGTCGACGTGTACATTGGCATCTCTGCTTGGCGGAGCAGATTGCAGTGGATTGAAGAGAATATAGGTCCCTAAAGAACTTCGATCTCTGCTTGTTACTTGGAATCGAATGTACCGGAACCAGGTTGCGAATAGCTGAATGATTGTTGCTGGCGAAATGTAAACCATCGGTAAGGCATACACATTTATCACCAATTCACCATCCAGTTTCCAAAGACCAAATCTTTTTCATCAGAAGGTTCTCTCTGTTTAACGGTTAAGTTTATTTAGACCTATGCAGAGATTGTCTTCCATTACATAGCCTAAGGATTACAAGTTGAACTCTACCATACTTAGAGCCACATTATTATTCTCGATGCAGAATAAACATTGGAAGCGAGGTCACTTGTACTGGCTTGCAAGCTGGCCTTCCTTGACTATGTAATTCTGTGCGGGGAAATCTTCTCCCTTGAAGTATCTGTCCCGCATATCCTTCACTCCAGCAGCATACCTCAACTGCCAATTTTCCAGATTGCGATTAGACTCGCCAGTAAAATTGAGCTGGAAAATGAAACAGAAACAATCACACAGCGCTTCGAACCAGAAAGAGCTCACCTGTGCATCAATGGTGGTGCCAGATATATGAGGAGTCATTGCCTGGTTTGGCATGTAACGCCAAGGATGGTCCTTTGGAGCTGGCTGTGGATACCAAACATCCCCACTGTACCCTGCTCATATTCAAAAGGTTCACACGGCGTAAGCTTGTATGAACTTGCAGACATTATTGGTTACTGAGTTAGTTCCAGGAATCTACAGAGGTACCTCCAATCTGTCCACTGGAGCAGCCATCAACAACTGCTTGTGTATCCATTATAGCTCCACGAGCATTATTCACAATCAGAACCCCTTTCTTCATCTTGGAAATCCTATCTTTGTCGAACATTCCCCTGCAACACAAAGACATTCAATCCAGTTCATGATAGCACAAAACTTACAGATCAACCCTGTATTGAAAGAACTGCAATTTGCAAAGCTCGATCCAAACTGCAAGCACTCACTTGGTTTTCTCAGTAAGTGGGGTATTAATGACAACTACATCACACTTTGGAAGCATGGCATCAAGATCCTCCTCAAACTTAGCTCCGATCTGTGACTCCAGCTCGGGTTCCATCTTGAGTCGATCATGGTAAAGCAGATTACAGCCAAAAGGTTTGAGCCTCTGGAGCAAAAGCTTCCCAATTCGTCCACACCCAACCGTCCCAATCGTCTTCCCTTCAAGATCATAAGCCCTGTAAGCTATACCAGCCACATCCCACTCCCCATTGATCACCTGGTGATAACCAGGCAAGAAGTTCCTCATCAGGATGAGAATCCTCATCAGCTCATCCTCAGCAACGGATACCACATTGCTCCCCGTGACCTCTGCAACAGTCAAACCGGCGGCAGCAGCTGCCGGCAGGTCGATGTGGTCGGACCCAATTCCCGCGGTGAGAAGCAGCTGCAAGTTTTTGGCCTTCTTGATCCTCTCAGCCGTCACGTAGGCAGGGTGGAAAGGGGTTGATATGAGAACGTGGAGATCAGGGATGTGCTTCTCCAGCTCTGTTAAATCATCAAACACCTGCTAGTCAACTAGGGATTCTGCAAGCAAATCAAATGGAGTGTTTTTTGTTGTTGTTTTCTTCTTACTGCATACTCACCGGAGTTGGGTCCATCTTTGTCGTCGGTGACGATGTACTGGTGGCCCTGAGATTCCAGCCAGCTCCGTATCCCCAAAGCATTCTCGGCGCAGCCCAGGAAATTGGGGTTCTTCTCGGCGTACTCGTTGGCCTTGTAGAACACTCCGACGATCTTCTTGCTCTCCCCCGCAGAACCCTGAATTCACAATTGTTCCTTCCATCTCATGAGAATCGAAACATATCAATTTTCAAGGGGGAGTAACGAAATTCGCACAAATGCACAGTTGAATGTAAAGGCGAGCTTACGAGCTCACGAGTTCATATAACTCGTCAAGCGAGCGAGTCAGTGAACGAGTGAAGAGTAGGCGTGACTCGTGAGTTACGCCGCCTGACGATTCAACCATTAAAAAAGTAATTAAGGAAAAACGCAGCGCACATTTACTACTCAACTGCCACCTGTACGGCCCAGCTCGGGGAAATCTACCAGAGGTGGAAAACCGCGGCGATCGGTGGTAGAAGAAAGACGGAGGTTGCCGTTTATATACGATCAACGGCGATAAAACTAAAGGGGTTGGGACTTGGGAGAGTAGAGTGCAGAAAACAGTGGCGGATGAAGAAGAAGCCAAAAGAGTGGGCGGCGCATGCTTACATGGAGGTCTCTAGCCAGAGCTCCGGTGGAAGAACCAGCCGCCGGGAAAGCTCGAATTGCAGAGGTTGCAGCTCGCTTCAGATTCATCATCGCCATTTCTTTCTCTGATGATTCTAGCGGAGCTAATTTCTGGGGGCGTACTTATTATGCGAAGACGTGGCCAATTTGTCTTTGCCTCCTGTCCTGGTGGCGGGTCACCCGTTACCCGACTTGCGGCGGCCGGACTGTATGACATATCTTTTCACGGTCCGATATGCTCTGCTTGCGTGGCACATTAGTGTGGACTCTGAAGCCTGGCCAATAGCCCAAAAACCTTTCAAAGATGGGCTAGGCCCAATATTAAGTTATTAGGGCCCACGGGAAAAGACATGAGTTTGGTAAGTCTCGCCGCCGATTAGCTGGCTATATCTTTTCTGCCTTTCCTTACGGCGGGAGGGAATCGAAATACTAAACCCGGTATAGTAAGCAAAGAACCCAGAAGTTAAAACCTCCCGTTTGGAACTATTCTGCTACCATCGTCGGCGTTATGGAGGGGGAAGGGACGGCGACGGAGAGACAAAGAAGGGCGACGGAGAGACAAAGAAGGGCGACGGCGAGCCAGGTGGATCAGTGGGCTGTTCAGGATCACGTGTTTAAGATTTACGGCGCTTTCGCCAGCATTCCTCGCAGCGCTCAATCTGTAATGTAAGACGGATGTGCTTTATCCATCGCTCTTCTTTGGACTGCTTGCTGCTTTAGCTTTGGATTTTGATGGAATTACGAGTTGATTCTTTGGTAGATTGGAACTTCAACGAGATAAACATGTAGAGTATCTAACCAGAGGACTCCAGCAGCTCGGTCCCTCATTCGTTGTATTGGATGCTAAGTGCGTACTTCTTCCTTCTTCTTGTGTAGCTTTAACTCTTGATGATTGTTTCGTTTGGTGTAGTTCAGCTTCGACTGCTTCGATTCTGAAAGTTGTGTTGTATGAGTGCAGTCGACCTTGGCTTTGCTACTGGATCTTGCACTCAATTGCTCTACTTGGGGAATCAGTTGATGATGAATTGGAGGATAATGCCATCGACTTTCTTAGCCGTTGTCAGGTAAACATCTTCTAGTGCTTACTGACTAGAAACCAAATTATTATGTTAAAAATTTGATGGTATTTAGTGCTTTCCTTTTATCCTCTGGGAATGTGGGCTTGTAGCGAGAGTTCCTGGTCAAACCCAATTGAGGAGATGTTAAAATTCGAGATAAAGTCCTTGATTTTTTGCTTCATTTATACACAACACCGTGGTCTTTAGTTTGTTTTGTTAGAGAGTTATTAGTCATTTATCGATTGGCTATTCTGCAGTTCAGCTGATATCCTTGTTCTACCTTAACTTATTTTTGACGAGTGATCGTATCTTTTGGGTGATAGGATCCAAATGGTGGCTATGGGGGTGGACCAGGGCAGGCAAGTTGCTGAAACATTTGCACTTTACAGGATCAGTAGGAGAATGGTTGCGGTTTTGTGTTTACTTATGTACTTATGTTCTTAGTCCCTTTTCTTTGTCTTCAGATGCCTCATCTTGCAACAACATATGCTGCAGTCAATTCTCTTGTCACTTTGGGCGGACATAAAGCGTTGTCGTCAATTAATAGGTGGTCAGTCATTATGATTGTGAAGAGTTCACCCTTTGTTAGTGGATCTGTGATTTGAAAACCTTTCTTAACATTGTTATCCATTGTTGTTCCCAGAGATAATTTGTACAAATTCTTAAGCCGAATGAAAGACTCAAGTGGAGCCTTCAGGTGACACTTTTTCTTATTTGCTCTCTTCTCCTTCGATTCCTTCTTTGTTCTTGCCCGCATCTTGTTTGTTGCTAAGTTCATGTCGTTCTTGTATGTGGAACTCTTTACTTGAATTATCTAATACAAGAATATCAAGGCTAAGAAAATTAATTTCATGTTCTGCTATTGAAATTGTTGCACCATGTGCTGATGTTCTTAGTTAATATTCTTCTGGTACTTCTTCATTTTATAAGTTCTGCATCTCCCTACATTTCCCTGATTGGTTCAGCTGCTTTCATATTCAAACTCCTTGTGCAATGTTCCTGTAACTGCTAGTAACTTGCTGATTCCTTCCCATATTAGGTGAAAATTAAATTCATTTCTGTCCAGGCTGGTTTCCATCCATTCTTTGCCATGTTGTCCCTTCCATTAAATGCATTCCTCACATTCGTTTATCCATCCTATGTTATAATGCCTACCATATGTTGTGTGATATGGCACTGCAGGTTCTTTGTCATATGATTAGTGGAAATCATGTGGACATTGAGTGTTTTCTGATATAAACATGACTTGACCTGTTCTTCTTTTCAGGATGCATGATGCTGGGGAAATTGATGTAAGAGCTTGCTACACTGCAATTTCGGTAAGGCAGCTCTTCTATGTTGGTGTAATTGGTAAAGCATGTAGTTACATGTGAATAAATTAATTGTACGGAATGAAATCACTCTTAAGCTGGAATTTGTGGTTGTCTTGATTCTGCATGAACCCTCTCAAATGCATAATCATCTCATGTTACCAAATTTGTCCAGGTCGCAAGCATTCTGAACATTTTGGATGATGAGCTGGCCAAGGGCGTTGCAAATTATATCTTGAGGTTTGTATATGGTCCTCATATTGCATAACTCTTTCAAATTGATGATACAAATAAGTTCTATAACCAGAAAGTGTCCCATTTTAATAGGAAAATCTACTACATTAGTGCTTTATGAGGACAGAAGGATTGAAACCCTTTTATTTTTCTGGTGTCTTACAGTTGTCAGACTTATGAAGGTGGTATTGCGGGGGAACCTGGTTCTGAAGCTCATGGAGGGTAGGTTTCTTTCTTCCTAATTTGTTCGTCCCAAAATAGCTAACAATTTTGGAGAATGATACTTGCTCCCGTCTCTGTATTTGAAAGCATGAGTTAGTTGCTTTCTCATTGAACAAACCCTCCTTAAATTTCAAGGGTTGATATTCAGGTACACGTTCTGTGGATTGGCTGCTATGATTCTCATCAACCAAGCCAATCGTTTGGACTTGGCTAGTTTAATTGTAAGAAAATTATGCTTATGTTTGTTTTGCATATTTTTCTTCTTCAACAACTGTCTGACTGCTTTGTTTCTTTTGCATTAGGATTGGGTAGCCTTTCGACAAGGAGTGGAATGTGGGTTTCAAGGCAGAACGAACAAGTTGGTTGATGGCTGTTACTCCTTCTGGCAGGTACTGCTATTTCTGTCCCCCCCATTCCCACTGCTGTAGTGAACCTTGTTCCTCATGGCGTGACTTATCGAAATAAGTTGTTCAGGGAGGTGTATTTGCACTGCTGCAAAGACTGCAAGCATTTGGCGGGGAAGGCTTTGGGACTTCTGATGTAGAAGTAGAGTGGGTTTCAGATAGTACTTCTGAAGGAGATGATGAAGATAGGGATTCATCAGATGATAATGAAGCTTTCCACCCTGAGCAGAACCAGGAAGGTAAGTGATAATCCCTTCCTTCCTAATCTCGTTGCTCTTCTTAGCTCCATTTCATCTCGCAAGCTCACTTCTAACGTTTCTAATTTTTCTTCAGGCCATCAAAGCTCATCTCATTCACCTGAGAACAGCACAGCGGTTCACATTCAGCATTCAAGACACAATCAGCTGGAACCTCTATATCATAATATGGCCTTGCAGCAGTACATTGTCCTGTGCTCCCAGGTATAGTAATACATATACCCTTGGAATATAACAAGATAGTACAAGGACGTGTCTGTTAAACATCATAGTAGGTGGACGTATTTGTTAAAACGATGTATTACTTGGACTACGAATACTATCCACCTATACAAATCTACCACAGAATCTGCTTCGTGCCTCAAACTTTACTTTCTGAGTGTTTTTTGATAGATCTGGCCTTTGTTGTGAACTGCAGGAACAAGAGGGAGGGTTCAGGGACAAACCAGGGAAAGCCAGGGACTATTACCACACTTGCTACTGCTTAAGCGGGCTGTCAGTGTGCCAGTACAGCCGGTCGAAGAACGAGAACTCGCCGCCATTGCCGACATCTGTGCTGGGACCTTATTCCAACCTCTTAGAGCCCATACACCCTCTGTACAATGTAGTGTCTAGGCAGTACCATGATGCTCGCGAGTTCTTCTCAGAATATTGAACCTGGTCCACCTCTTACTGTTAGGCATGATGCTATTAAGTTAACTAACAGTAACATCCATTTTCCAGCTCTTCTTTGTGTCATCATGTATGTGTATTATTTTGTTCGATGAGTGGTATCATCATGTGTGTGTTGTAACATTCAATAATGACATTCAAGTATTGAGTAATCTTAGATTAGACTTATTGTCACCAAAGTAATGATATTGTTTTTAGTATTATCATCATTATTGGTATGTGATATGGATACTAATCATCACCACCAAATATTCATAGATTAGATTTAAACCCAGTAGTTCGTCCATGCATTTGCTAATTGTTAACGCATAAAAAATAGATAAATCGTTCAGGTTGAATTGATGCTAGCACACTTTTGATCTTTTGTGTCATTGTCATTAGAACAAGTGAGTGCTCCCAAGTTTACATAACCTACCAGTCGTATACTTCAGATTTAAGAATACAAATTTTGACAGTTATTACATTTGTGGTTAAATATTTATTAAAGTTAACGATATTTGTGTAAATCACGTAAGTGTAACATAGAGAACCATAAAGATCAAAACTTCCCCATTTCTAATCTATGTAAGATTGAAGGTTATGTAATTGATAGTTAAACAAGTCAAAATGTATTACCATTTACAGCTATATTGAAGAGGCGGAACGTAAAAGCCAAAAATGAAATATCATTCTACATTTTCCAAAAGAAAAAAAAAAGTTCAAGAATTTAAAATTCCACGTGTCGTGTAGCGGATCGGCCCCTCAGACGTCACGTCAGCTATATTACACTGTCACTCTGACTTGACTCTTGTTGGTCTGAAAGTGGCCACAGCAGAGCAGCATTTCAAACCTCCTTCAGAAACCGCCACCGCCCATTTCCTGTCCCCTTCTTCTCTTTCTCCACAAACAACGATCTTGCAGTCACTCCATCTCCTAGCTACAGTAACCGCCGGCTGGTTCCCGCCGCTCCGAACCGAGCCCTGTCGGCTGTCGCCACCGGTGCTTCCAATTTCGCAACCAGTTCCTTCCTTCCTCTATGGAACACAAAGAACACGAGCCGAAGAAACAGCAAGATGATATTCAATCGCCACCGCCGGGGATGGAGGAGGAAGAAGAAGGCGAAGATCACTATGAAATAGAGTCGCCACCACCGCAACAGGTGACCGATTCGATTCAGCAGTACCAATTGGAAACGCAGAACAATCGCAACATATCTCACCCTCCCCCGCCTTCCCTTCTTCACTACTACTCCCCTTCCTCCTACCCTCCTCAGCCGCCGCCGCATCAACAGCAGCAGCAGGCAGCGGAGTCTCCTCCCCAGCTACTCCGAGTTCTGGAGGCGCGGTCCCCTGAGTCCCCGCCTATCGCCCCTATGCCGGTGGCTTCTGGGCCGCCTAAGGCAGCCCCAGATGGAGGGGGAGGCGGTGCTCCTCCTCCTCCTCCTCCTGCTGTTGATGGCGGTGGGAGGGCCACTAGGGGGAGAAGATTGAGACCCAATTTGTCGATTATGAGGAAGGCCAAGTTTGAGAACGTTAGGAGGGGAGCTCTCTTGGTTTCCAGGATTTCTGGGTTTGTCTTCTGCTTGATTTCCCTGGCTGTTTTGGCTGCTGACAAGGATCAAGGCTGGGCACTGGAGTCTTTCTACCGCTACAAGGAGTTCAGGTAATGTAGCAAAACAAAGTAACCTTCTTTGATCTGTCGCTGTGACGAAATGCTCATTAAGCTAGAAATAGTCACAGAACAAAACGGTCACTTCATGTGCTGGGTTGAGGTAGCATGTCAAATAGGCTTGCAATGTCATCGAAATCGACCAATCCCCACTGGTGCATCCACCAGAGCAGCCCCTTTACGATTCGGAAATGAACTGGATCTCGTGTTCATGCGTTTGCTCACAAGTTGAGTGTTGATTTTGGTGTCATGGCAAGTCTAATTGCCACATTGGATACAGAATGACTGTTTTGTTACTAATAGCCGAGTTTAGATGGTAATGATGTTAGTATATTTAATTCGGTCACCATTTTGCTACAGATTCAACTGATCCAGGAGATGAAAGTCAATGAAATGAGAGTACTTTATGAATTGATTTAGTAATTCAATGATGTTTTTGTTGATTGGCTTTGTTGCTTTATCCTTTCCCTCGCCCTTTTCCTTCAGGTATTGCTTGACAGTGAACGTGGTGGGGTTTGTGTACTCAGGAGTTCAAGCATTTGATCTTGCTTACTCAATGCTCACTAAAAGAGTTCATAGCCCAACCGGGAACCGGCTCCGGGATTGCTTCGATTTCTCTCTGGACCAGGCAAGCTCCACTGTCCCTTTTGCCCATATTAAATACGTCACTATGCCACCTCCTCAGCATCCATTCATCCTCCCACCTAACCTATGCACTTTGCTTCATTAGCCACCACTCAATTCCTAATGTGGCAAGAAGCTTTCATGGGTTGCCATTTGCTGTGTCTATCCTGTTCTGTGAGCTTGCTTTTGGACCCCAAAAAAAGGACCCATGGCTGGTTGAGTGACCTCTTGCTAAACTTAGTCATCACTCTCTTTTCTATACAGCAAAAACACTGTCAACGCCTTGTTATTAGTTGTAATCTGTTTATAGTAATGGGTGTTCAGGTGGGTTAATGTCCTTTTCTATGGAAGTTTCTTGGCTAGAGTTCAGACTATTTTGGGCCATGTCTTTATTTTGTTTCTTTGTGTGGTTGTTATTTGCTTGGAATATTTCTTCCCCTCTACTCTAATACTGCTACCTTTCCTCTTCCCTTTCCCCCCAGAATGATGCTGCCTTTTTGTTTGGGGCTACCTACTGTCTTTTTGCTTAGGTTGTTTGTTCTTTAATAGTTGAGGGTAGAATATAATTGCAAGTGGCCAAAGGCCTTTCAGCCTTTGGAGGTGCCTTAATAAGTTTGTTCAAAGTGCCCCTTCTTGTAATGCTTCCAAAGCACAGTGAGAAAGGCTAGGCTGTAGAGAGGGCCATGATTCACGAAAAGGAAATTCTTTTTTACTCTCGAGTCGAATTTATACCTTTTGGACCATTTTCAGTAGGAACAAGCTGGCAGTATGCTGGCTGCAATTCATTTTCTCAGCAGATGGCAGTTTATGATGGTGAAGCTTGGGATCATAAACTTTGAGAAAGGCCATAGCAATCCAACACATTAAACATCATACCTTCTAGCTAACTCTGTCCAGGTTAACCGTATGCATGATGTGTGACCCTTTTCATATGCTCTCTTATCCATCAAACTTGCAGCTCTCTTTCCTTGTGGAATCAATGCCTTCTAGGGAGATGTTATTTCAGTTTCATGACAGGTTAGCATCATTTTCTTTTTGCTGTATGCAGATAATAGCATATCTTCTGCTGTCTGCATCGACATCAGCAGCCTTCAGAGTGGAGGACTGGGAATCCAACTGGGGGAGCGACGAGTTCTCGGCCATGGCAAGAGCATCTCTCGTCCTGTCGTTCCTAGCGTTTGTTGCCTTTGCATCGAGCTCGATTCTGTCTGGTTACACTCTCTTCACTTCACATTCATTGTAGTACCTACTTTGAGATCCTCCTGGTGTGCTTGGAATGGGGAAAGATATACAACGGAGAATAATGAATACCATACAAACTTGCATACATAGTAGTGAGAATATCTGCATAATACTCGGGAGTCAGGACTAGATAAAGAGAGACTAGATGAGCTTGATCGATCATTCTCACGAGTCACGATCTCCTTTCTCATCCATGGTGAAAATGTTGGGTGTATGAGTTTCGATTGGGCGTGCCAATTATTTGTTGTATTCAATTATACGTTTAGGTGGCTTTTGAGAAGAAGGAATTGTAAGTTGTTACAACACTTTTGCCACTCATAAACTCATGCAACCTTTTCTATTACACCATCTTAATTTGAGAGATCTGTTAGCTTGCCTCCCCTTTTCTTTGGTACTCGCAGCACTTCTTCTGATTCCTCTTGTTTGCGTTCTCTTCGATCGGGAGACCTTCATGGAAACGATGCCGGCTGGCCAGGGGCTACCCTTGTTCCCAATTCTGCACATTTTGTATCACCTCGAAAATGGATGTCAATTCTAGATATGTACAGTTGAAGGTTTGAGAGAGGCTCGAACTCGTCGACCTTTGAATCATTTTCGGGAGAAATGAATACCTGATTTCTAGAGATCAAGTGGATATGACTCATACTAAAATCAAACTCGTCTACTGATACATGTGGATCTTACAACCATTATTGGGGGTAATAGGTCTATGTATAAATGTAAGAAATACAACTAATCGTTTAAGGTATAAAAACGGTCGAACATGATGCTTGGTAAAATTGAAATAGTATAGTTATTGACATGTATATGAAACCATATTGAACGAGCAAAATTGTTGAGATTAATTATTTCAATGTATAATAACAATTCGAATACGACCCTTAGTAAATAGTATAATCACTCATACATGTTGACGTTAGAATCACTTCCGACAAGAATTGATAGATATGTGAAGCCGTGCTCATATGAAATTGTAGAGATTAATGTTTAAGATATAAAAAACAAAATCGAATATGAACTGTAGTAGCAACTAGCAAGTATAGTCATCAACATTTTGCTTAAAACAAAAACAAATATTGGGGTGAGAGAGGCTCGAACTCTCGACCTCAGGATCACTCTATTGCTATGAGACCTACGCGCTAACCAACTGCGCCACCACCCCAATTGACATTTGAACATTCTTATTATGATAGTAAACTCCACTCTATATTCAGACAGTTACAGGTTGCGATGTTGCTGGCGTGGTGGTTGAACTCGGAAGCAAAGTGAAGAACCTGCAAGTTGGAGATGAAGTATACGGGAATATATATTAACGAGGCAGCTCTGATTCAACCCAAGAAGTATGGGTCTTTGGCAGAGTATACTGCTGTTGAAGAGAAGCTTTTGGCTCTTAAGCACAAGAAGTTGAGCTTTGCTGAAGCAGCTAGCCTCCCACTCGCCATTGAGACTGCACTCGAGGGCCTTGAGAAAGTTGGGTTAACCAGTGAGATGTCTATTCTCGTTGTTGGTGGTGCTGATGGAGTTGGTTCCCTTGTGATTCAGGTACTCACTCAATCAACATCATCGTCCTTGACTATTCTGCCTTTGCAAGTGGAGGTCATGACCTACGGTTTTAACCAGCGGCGGATCCAGAACACAAAAGTGCAATGGGCCGCATTTTATTAGAAAATTAGAATAGTAAAAAAATATAATGATTATAATTTTTTTACAATGTAAATTGTAAACGACGGTATTTTAATTTAGCGAATGCATTAATAATGGAGTCCACATCCATACCAATAGTATACACTGTTTCAAATAAAATACTTGAGCAATCGACTAGAAATCCATCGCTCATTTTGTTGCGCAAATCAGTTTTCACATGTTTCGTTGTTGAAAAGGTTTTATTCGTATTAGCTGTTGAAACGAGCAGCATCAACACTAGACAAATCAATCTACTAATCAATTTGCATTGTGTTTCCATCCCTATATCCACCAGCTACTCTAGTAAATTTTCCAAGGTAACAAACCTCATATATGTTTTAGTCTTTTAGGTTTTAAACTTTTTGAATTTTTAGGTTTCATTTTTTTTTTACGAATAACCTTTGGGGTTAGAATTTATAAGCTAAATTTAGAGTAGTGATTTTGAATATGTTCATCAGAATTATTTTTCTAATTATACCCAATCTTATTTTAAAATAACAACGACTCGAATATCTAAAATCAAAAAATTCATAAGGCCTGTACTAACTATGGATCCAGAGGAGGGCTGGGCCGGGGCCCGGGGTGGCCACCCCCTAGATCCGCCACTGGTTTTAACTTAGTTGTGGCTAGGGGTGGCAGTAGGTCGGTTTTGGTTTAACCGACAACCGAAAACCCGGTTATCAATTAAACCGAGCCACCCCCTATAGCTGCCGACCGAAGACAGGTCACGGTTAGCCGGCCAATCGAAAAAATTATATTTTCAAAAAAAAAAAAACTAAAAATTAATTAAATAAAACAAAAAAATCTCCACCACTCCTTCCTTATCTCCTCCTCTCTCCTTCTTTCCTCCACCAGACCTCTTCTCTCTCCTTCCTTCTTCTTCTCTCACCTTCTTTCTCCATGGAAACAGATCTGCAGGGGTCACCTCGGTGGTGAGGGCAGGTGGGGAAGACACGCCGACGCCGTGCAAGGGAGGAGGCGGCGGGGGGCACCGAGGCGTGGATGCGCAGGGGAGACAGTGCCGCGGTGGGGGGTGCCGATTTGATTCTCCTTGACGGCGAGGCGCCGGGGAGGAGGAGGTCGTCGAGGCGGCGGGCAGAGGCAGTCGCAGAGTGTGAGGGTTGAGGGAGAAGTGGAAAACGAAGGCCAGCAGTGCTAGGGTTGGGGGGGGGGGGGGTGGAGTTGGTGTATTTAAGAGTAGGCAAAACGACGTCGTTTCATCTCGGTCGGTTAGCGTTGGTTAGCCGGTTAATCGGCTTCGGTTTCTCAGCTAACCGCTTGACCAATGATCCCTTCTGTTAACCGACCGCCCCTTTGTTTTTTCGGTTTCCCGTTAGCCGCTAACCAGCAGTTAACGGTTAGACCGACCGGTTAGCCGCTAACCAGCAACTGAAATGACAGCCCTAATTGAGGCTTGAGCATAAAAAAAAAACTTCATTGTTCTAGAATTATATTTTATAGATGGTGTGTGTGTTTTGAGTTTTTTTTTGGTGATGTGTGTTTTGAGTTTTAGTAAACGTAGTAGGAAAATGTAGTCGGTAAAGCTTTTAGAAAACAGAGTTAATATGGGCCGTGGGGAGAAGTATGGTGCTGGGATCCACCTGGATGGTTAAGTTTCTATAAGCACTTGTTCAATATGCGTAAGGTGAGTATGATGTTAGGATTGCATAGTTATGGAACACAATTATCATCATTATGATGCAAACAAATACATAAAATTATAAAGACAACATAAATTAATAAATTTTTATATATTTGATTCAAAACATTTCTCATTCAGATTCTACTAAACATACAAAGGACAATCCTCTATTTAATTTAAAAATAATTTAACTAGACATATTTATTCTCTTTTATATATATTTTTAAAAATCAGTTGCATTTGCAATATTTGTATGTAGTTTGTTTGCTTGAGATTTGATGCTTAAAATTCACAATTATATTAGGGTAGCTATTAAAATTTATGCTTATAATTTGCTTAATAGTGTTTGTGAGGTGAATTATGAAAATTGAAGACATATATTTGTTTATTTCGGCCAACTAAAGAAAGGTTTCAATTTCTTTCTGAGCCGGCCCATTACAAACAACAATAGTTAGTTAATAGGCCTCCTTGCATGCGTCTAGAAAACAACCTCTGGACTTGGGCTCATATAAAGTGAGAAAAACGGTAAGAAATAAAGCTGTACGTGTTGGGCTTTGGTTTAATCTTTTCCGTTTCGTAAAATCCACACATGCATGCAAAGCTGGCGAAGCATGTTTTCGGATCATACAAAGTGGCAGCCACGTCGAGCACTTCAAAGCTGGAGCTGCTGAAGAGCTTGGGAGCTGATCTGGCCATCGATTACACCAAGCAGAACGTGGAAGAGCTCAATGAGAAGTTCGACGTCGTGTTCGACACAGTAGGTATGAAACAAAGAATATATAAACATATTTGTATCCGATTTATCAGTACTTTTAATTACGACCAATTCAGAGTCTCCAAAAAGCAAACAAGAATAGTCGCCAAAAGTTTTTGGAACTTTGCCTTTGGCGACCATTTGTTGGTTGCAAAAAGCTCGTTCTGTGCGGGAGAAGTTGTGCATGGTTTCTGAAGTTCTTAGAATAACTACTACTGCAGTGCAAAACGGGACCACCGCTGTGAAGGCAGCGAAAAGCGGCAGCGGCAGAGTGGTGGCGATACTGCCGGTGCTACCGCCGGCGAGTTGGTTTGTGATGAGCTCGAAAGGGAGTGCGTTGGAGAAGGTGAAGCCTTATTTGGAGAGTGGGGAAGTGAAGCCATTAATTGATCCAAAGGGTCCAACACTATGTTTGGGAAGGGGTGTAAATGGAAGGGGTGCAAGTTTGGAGGGGTAAACACAAGTTCCAAGGTGTTTACCCCCGTTTGGTTATTTTGTAACAGTAGGGGGGTGCAAAACGTGAGCGTAAATTCACTGTTTCGGCTTACCCCCAAATTGGGGTGCAAGGGAAGGAAGGAAGGGAGGGGGAAGGGGGAGGAGGGGAATTATGAATTTTTAATTAGACTATAATTACATAAGTTATTAATTTTTCTTATATCTATATTAGTGTAGAAGTTGTTTGGGGTTGACCGTTTGACTCAGAGAGCAAGTTTGTCAATGTTCGCCTCGTCAAATCGATATCTCTTAGTTGACCCGAATTTGCATTGAAAATTAGAGATAAGAAGCATTTGTTGAAAAGATAGAGAGGAACAGTTTAGTTAACTCGATTTACTTTAATAAGTAGTTAAAGCTTACAGATTCGAACGTGTTTGACTAAGTTTGACCATATTCAATTTAAAGTTAGGCACCAGAACCCCCTTAGGATGACCAGTTACGAGTTGGATTTCGAGTTTCGAGGTTGCTCGACCAATGATTATTATTGTTGTTATAAATAATTATATTTGAGCATTATTATATAATAATTATTTTTATTATTATATATTGAATTTTCATGTTTGTGATAATATTTTATAAATTGATAAATCTATTTTATAAAAATATAATTACTTACTTTTTACTCTATTTGCAACCCCCTACTTTTTCATCCAAACAACAATTTACCCCTCCACTTACACCCTCCACCAAGTTGCACCCCCAACAATTTACCCCTCAACTTGTACCCCCTCGAACTTGCACCCCTTGTTGCCAAACATAGTGTTGCCATTTTCTCTAACTGTGGAGGCGTTTTCCCATCTCATGAGTCATGACTGGGAGAGCTACAGGGAAAGTCGTCATTCACCCTCTACCTTGATTGTCTTGATCTATATATTATAAAAAAAAGAGTGATTGAGTGGAGCCAGGTATTTGAGTTGGGTAAAGCGAACCGTGGAGGATTGGGGTGTACAACAGTTTGGTTTGTATCATATCGCATCGGATCAAACTGACACTTGTATTGGTTCATAGCCAATTGTAGGGGTGGCATACGGTTCGGTAAAACCGAACCGAACCGAATTCAAACCGAACCGAAACCGAATAACATTACTTCGGTTCGGAATTCGGAAGAGAAAATGGTATATTTCGGAAACCAAGGTCCTTTCGACCGAACCGAATTTCCGAATTCCGAACCGATTTTCCGAATTACTATAATTGCAAGTTCCTAATGGTGAATTTTTATGTTTGTACTTTTTATGAGACTTAAATATTTGAATTATGTTAGTGTTTTATGAGTTATGTGTTGAAATGTTTAATTTTATCATTGATGATGCATTTAATTGCATATTTATTGTTTACATTAGGGGTGAAAAATAATTTAAAAGAGAAAAAATACAAGCTAACCTCACAATTTCGGTTTTTCATACAAAACCGAACCGAATTATAATTCGATTTGAACCGACCGAACCGAATTATAATTCGGTTCGAATTCGGTTTGAGGTTTGATGGAACTCGGAAACCCGGTATACATTATTTCGGTTCGGTTTGAACCGAACCGACCGAATGCCCACCCCTAGCCAATTGAATAAGATGCAGTTTGATCTTTTGTTCACAAATTTTATAAATACGAATAATAAATGGACTAAATTGGACTGAATGCACTGTTGGTCTAGTAGTTGACGCTAAGATGTTTGACTTAATTGGACCAAACCGGACCACTCCACATCCAGTGCTAAAGGAGCGTCAATGCCTTCCAAGACTAATTTGTTTCATCTATCCCATAAACAGATTACTTTCCAAAAAAAAAAAAAAAAAATTCATCACGTTTTCCTTCACACTTATAAGAAGCTGTCGTTGTAGGAAATATTGGGTTGGGATTTTATAAATATATATGTCATAGCTAGTGTAGTGATCGATGAGACAAACGATGGGTTGTTGACTTGTTGCTAATTAATGAAAAAACTACTATCCTCACAGACAACCAGATTAGATTTGAATAAGAGAGTCTTAATCGATGGATGACCGATGCCTTCAAACTTTCAATTATTTTTGGCATATACCTGTGGCTCATCGAGACACATAATTTTCAGTCCTGACTATGAGGATGATTTTAATCGGTTAGTTTGTTAACTGTTTAACTGTTGGTTACTAATCGTTCAATCTTCGGTTAACATTAGCTAAATTTGGCTACCAGTAACCGGACATCTACTACCCAAAGTTATCACTTTCCTTCTAAATAATAACGAGTTAAATCTAAAGATTTCAGTAAAATTAATAATGGCGAAGTATATTATTCGGGAACGGATGAGCTTTATATAATCTCAAATGGTGAAAAATTAATAATGGCGCTATAATACTTCTCCACACGAAACCAATGATTGTGAAATAATATTGGACGTTATACAGAAAAAGTCAGTGATAGAGTATTTTATACTAAAATCATGGTATAACCTTAGTTCAATAGTGTTATATCGCTAAAACTACCTACCGGTTTAATATCCACTACCTGATACTTCAGCTCCAACCGGATGGTAAGTTAAGAGTTTCTAAAACACTGCATTGCATGAAAAACATTGTTTATAACCAATTGATTAAATAGTTAGTTTAAATATATAGAACACCCCACACGGTGATGATAATTCATGAGAGATCTGGTCTTTTGTCTGTTCCCAAGATTTGAATTTATTTTGTACCTAGTCAACAAGTTGGCGCGATGCGATAAATTAGAGAAAAAATTGATCATATATTATAAGCATATACATCCGGCAGGTGGAGAGCTATAAGGATTGATATATAATTCCGTTTCACTGAGACAAATCGTTAAGTAGTAACTAGCAAATTGCAAATAGCAATCAATCCATTCCAAGGCTTCCAGTTCTACATTTGTCACATCTGATATTTCCATCAATAATGTCTTCCGTGCTACAATCCGTTTCCAGGAGGTAAAAATGTAGTCAGTCCTCATATATAATTAGTGAAAGAGCGATTCATTGATCGTAATTAGTGGCGATGACATCAATCCGCTTAATGAATTAACATGCAGGTTATCAGGGAAGGTGGCACTGATCACAGGCGGAGCAAGCGGGATCGGCGCCGCCACGGCCAGGCTGTTCGCCCAGAACGGCGCCAAAGTCGTGATAGCCGACGTCCAATCCTCGCTGGGAAATTCCGTCGCTAAAGAAGCGAGCTCCAACTCCCAACACCCCGTCTCCTTCGTCAGCTGCGACGTCACCAAGGAGAGCGACGTGGAGAGCGCTGTGGACGCCGTCGTTTCGGCCCACGGAAAGCTGGACATCATGTACAGCAACGCCGGCGTTACCGGGGACAGCTCCGGGCACCGGATCCTGACGGTGGACGCCGAGGAGCTGAGGAGAGTGCTGGACATCAACGTGGTGGGCGGGTTTTTGTGCGCCAAGCACGCGGCCAGGGTGATGATCCCGGAGAAGAAAGGTATAAGGTGTCTATTATTATTATTATTATCGAATCTGCTTGTTTTTTTTCCCAATAATTCGCGAGTTATTGAGATTAACTGATTATTTCGACAAACAGGGACCATTCTGTTCACAGCGAGCGTGGTGACGGACACGTTTGGGCTGTTCGCTCACACGTACACGGCCTCGAAGCACGCGCAGGTGGGGCTGGTGAAGAATCTGTGCGTGGAGCTGGGGCAGTACGGGATTCGGGTCAACGCGGTTTCTCCCGCCGCCGTCCCGACTCCGATGGCCATGAAGGCGCTCGGGTTGGACCGGAAGGGGGTTCAGGAGTTCTATGCTCAGAAGTCGGCGTTGAAAGGTCCGCTGCTGGACGAGAACGACATCGCCGAGGCGGCTCTCTACCTCGCCAGCGACGAGTCGCAGTTTGTGAGTGGGTTGAACCTCATCGTAGATGGTGGCTACAACTTGAGGAGCGCCTAGCTAGTTAGCACCGGAATTCGATCGGCATGCATGCATGCATGCACCGGAATTCAACTTGAACCTCATCGTCGACGGTGGCTACAATTTGAGGAGCGCCTAGCTAGTAATTAATTAGCAGCTGCCTGGAACTTGCTCCAATTAATTCTGCATCACTTTCTTTTTATCCTATGAGATCAAATTTGTAGTACCAGTGTACCATTAATAAATATCGTCACTATTATCGATAAGAAAATTTCCAGTGTCTTATGAAAGTTGCAAGGATTACATAGATGCATTAATTGTAGTATATATATGGTGACTACTTCGGTGCACTCACAAAAATGAGTGCGTTCAATGCACCCAACTCAAAAACTAATCTTAAGGTGTCGGATTTTGAATTTTAATGTTTAGAATTACTGTAATATGATGATATAACATATGATAACAACTAATTAGCGGATTAGCCTAAGCCCTAGACCTCCAATTTTGATATCTATCCCTAAACCCCAAATTGTAAACCCTAACCCTAACCCAAAATCTCTAAACTCTAAATCCTTCAAATTAAAGTAAATCTTTAATGGTTTTTGTGCAAATTCATGTGCGTTATTGTTCATCATATCATAAGTGATGATTGACATCATTTTGACATAAATCACATGTTTAAAATGACGGTTATGAAGTGAGTGCACTGAATGCACCCAAAAAAATGAGTGCACCAAAGACGCCACTATATATATATATATATATAAATGAATTTGGTGCACAGTAAAATACAGTATAGTGTTTAATATACGTGATTGTGTTTTTAAGTTGTGAATAACATGGGTTCAACAATAGAATCTAAAATCAATTAAAAAAAGAGTACCGACCGGAAACGAGAAAATAAGCCGACCGTTGGGGAAGTCTCCTATTGCCACCGTCGGATCTACGCCGGCGAAGTATCCAGTTGACTGACTAGTAAGTAAAGCAAGATCGCGGCAACATCTTGCTCCTGTTTCTGCTAGCTATATATCATTGATTTTTAGGATGAAATGGGATGTGCATTTCTAATTCTACTACAAAAACTCATCAAAGCCAGAAGGTCACAAAAGAGCTAGTTTTGACCAAACCTCATCCCTTATCACTTGATCGAACTCGAAACCGCAAATCGGTCAACCGAATGCAAAAGATCAACTGCATCCTTGAATTTAGAAACTTGTCTCAAATCAACATTAGCACGTACAGGAAATATATAAACGGTTAGCTCCTATAGTTTGAAGATGCCTGCATCAATCTATTAGGAAACAAGCTAAGCAAATCATGTTGAGAAGAAGTAAAACTGCAACCAAGAAATGAAGAACAGCTACCAGACCAAGATTCCCTAGCTAGCCAGTATAGTAGTATATTGCCGCTGATGAACCAGATCATGGTCTGTTATTTCATCATCCCAATTAGTATTCATACACAGAATCACAACATCGATGTGGTGAAGATGGTAGCGTAGTAATTAATACTAATTGAGATGATGAAATGATTGACCATTACTGATGGATGTAACTTCTACTTCCTCTCCCATTGTTTCTCTATCCATCTTGGTTGGGTGAGGGGTAAGTGGTAAGGTTCTGAAGTTTAGATTTGTGGCTACTTGTCGGTGGATTATTCACACCTATATATAGCCCAGAACTTGATATTATTATTATTATTATTATTATTATTGTAAAGAAATTTTATAATAGTATTATAAGTCAGTTTGGAAAAGAAAATGAACAGAAAATATTAATTTTTTGAGTAAGGGTGATATAGGTTTTAACATTTCTGTGATTTAATGTACTACATAAATGATTAAGGCCATGTGGTATTACCATTAGACCATGCCCTTGTTTGTGAAAATATTAATACAAAGTATTGTAAAATTCATATATAAATATTTATGCACTATTCAATTAGTTGATAGTAACATATTTCAAAATAAATTTGTCAGAATAATGGTATATCTAGCCAACTTCATAAATGGTAACACTAGATGTAAGTTTTACATAATTCATGTACAGGTTCCTTCGTCTATCTTCTTGTTCATAATTAGATTGAAATGTTATAAATTATAATATTTTTTTTTTAGAATCACACTGCTTATAATCATTTTAAAACGAATTAGATTGTCAAAATAATGTGCTGTTTTTTAGAAACAAATAATATATATGCACATGATCATCAACCATACTTCTATATATTTATATAAATATCACTTTGCTATTTAATTAGTAATTAAGAGCTGCCCAACAACCCATCTGTCTCCCCACTAGCTATTATTATAGATATGGGTAATAATCCCTAGCTTCGGCCTTCGGGTACCGAAATATGCCGAATAAAAAAGCTCATCTATATATAAATTGTGTATTTTTGTGTTGACCTACCCATTTCGCCGGCGATCAAGAGCCGCTGACTGTCCTCTTCGTTTTCCTGAGAAACTGTTCGGCAGGGGAGGATTTTTCCAGGAACATCCAATGAAATATATTTAATTAGAATAAAGTATAAATTTAATTAGGTTCAACCCGGTTCAACCTGCTCTGGTTAAGTGGTGGTTATTATCTAAGGTCCACATTAAACACTGGAAATCCAACGGCTAAAAGGTTGGCGGCACTATAGAATCCGCCCCATCTATATTAATATCCCACCGCATCTGCGGATCATGTGATGCTGATGCATGTCATTTATGATAGCCTTCATTTCTTCGTCCCTACTGTCAACTTACATCAAAGTTAACATGTGATTGTTTCTTCTTCTTTATTGCAAACGCACATGTATATACAGATAGCTAGTCTTCACTTCATGTTCCAGGATCAATAGAGGAGCAGATTCCATTCAATTAAGAAATCAATTCATACAGATCTGGACTCGGCTTGAGGATTTTGGAGATAGAAGATCATTCGTATGGCGCCCTCATCGATCGTCCGTTCAACACGTTGTTCTCTTTCGATGCTCTGTTCGTTGGGGAGATGTTGTTTGGTCCGGCGAAGGTCGGCCAGAGGTGGTTGCGGGCGTCTCTGCCTCCCTCGGTCCGGATTTGGGTTTTCCAGCGCCTCATTTTCCATCATGGTTGGCGTCTGGTGGAGGTGATGTTGTTTGGTGATACGATGGCGGTGGGTGCCATGGGGGAGCATCACATCTAGGGTTTGGAGATTGGATTGCTTGGTTGGGCTCCCGGTTCTGGGCCTTATTGGGTATGCGACCGGTTGTATGGGAGTTGGGCTTTGATTATGATTTTTCCTTTCTTTTGCTGTAATGTCTCTTTTAATATTTTCTTATGGGATTGGCCCATTTGCTACTTAATGAATCAACTTGTAAAAAAAAGGCCAATTTTACGGTGCCGCTGATTTTTATTAGGCCACATGGGTATTGTCTAGCTGATGTGGCACTAGTAATTTTTTTCAAAACCAGCCCAAAATCCATCGCTAGTGAACCGGGCCAACCACCGATTTGAGGAATTAATTACAGTTTTTTATTTTGTTTTTCTCATAAATACATTTTTTTTACCGTGCGTGAACAAACAACATCTTCCTCACCTCCCTCTCCACCGAATTGAAAATCAACAAAGAGTTCCGGCGAACTCCTTCGCCGCCAAATCGATCTCTTATAGAAGCTTTTTGATTCGCATCCACTACAATCTTACCGCCTTCCTCCTTGATTTATTATGTAAACAAAATTACTTGCAGGAACGAATCTCTTGTTTCGGCAGCCGACGCTTCGTCTCCGTCGACTGCTCCACCACCACGCGATCCACATAATCCCAAGCCAACCAACATATTTATTTTTGTAGTTCGTCATTCGTGGAAATAAATAAGTTAATTCCTTTCTGTCGATTGTCTCTGTCCCTCTTCACCAGTCGCCCCTGTCTCTCCACCATTGAATCTGTTTGATTCTTCTCCTTCATTAATGGTGTTTTGTTTGGTCACACTAAAGCCCATGAGGCATTGGCTCGCTGGTTACAAAAGGCTCGGTGATGGAAATCTGAAGCCAAGGTAAGACAAACGGGAACGACTAGCGTAGAGGGAGGGTGGAATTACCTGAAAGCAAAAGCCACTCTGCAATTCCAATCATTGATCTTTCAATTTGGGTTTCGATGTTTCAAAAATGGATGCCGGAGAGAGGGGGACAGCAGAGAGGGAGGAACATTTATTTTACCATTGGCTTAGCGTCGATTGGATTTGGTGGCAGCAAAGCAGTCCGACGAAGAGGAACAGTGAGGAATACAATAGGTTTTCTCTCTTGTTTCTTTATGTGAAACGTAACTAACGTATTGTTTTACGATGTGAAAAGGAAAATTAGAAAAACAATAGAGCTGGTTGAGCCGGTTGATGGGAAACGGGTTTGGGTTGTGTATTTTGAAAGTCAATTAAGCCACATAGGCAGCCACGTGGGCCAATTAAAATCAGCGATACCGATGCCGCACTTTTAATGGCGGTATCGTAGTATTGGGAAAAAAAAGGAGAAGTAGGTGCAGCTGTGCTAGGTTAGTTTTGTTAGGAAGAAGGAGAAGAATGTGCAGATGGCCTGATTAGTTATGTTAGGGTTTTCTACTAATTCTATATATATAAATGTAAAATTACTATGTAGTATTTGCAAAGTAAATTTTATTTTAGTCATTAAATTGTTAAATTATTATACCATGTGTCTTTTATTTATGATATTATTTTTTATAAGGTATCGGTTCTCTAACGGTATAATAACGGTTGGATCACTAAAGTGCGAGCCGTTCACATTATCAGGTCATGCTCCGGTTCGGTTCTGACAACATTGCTTTTAACTAATGTTAATGGTGTAGCACTACAACAAAAAGCTACTTTACCGACATTCACTTAATGACAACCACTAGGACCGTCGTTACGTGAGGAGATTGGACGGACAAATTGCCCGTTGTTTGTGACCGTTGGGATTTGGATGAAAATGCTATCCATTTAAAATATGAATTAATTGCAAGTAACGATAAAGTAAATGGCATATGACGGCTGGGAAACGGTGCGGTCTGTCTAGACCAGACCATATATACGGTCTACGGTCCAGACCGAGAGGCTAAAGTATAGACCACAGACCAGACCACAGACTATACGGTCCGGTCCAGACCACGCCTATGCGGTCTGGTCTGGTCCAGATAGACCACACTCAACGAAAAATGAATAATTTCTTTAGTCAACCACACAAAAAATTGAACCAATAACCAAGAAAAATAATTGTTATTTGCCTTAAAACATTAATCCTAACATGTATGAATAATTTTGATACTCTAAATCTTATTACATAACAAAGATACAAAGTAAAAGCATCTCAGCTTGCACCATAATTTCATAAACATTAACATAATGTCATATGGAGACACGGTTATCTCTACTCTGTGGTTAAATGTGGTTGTGAATGAAAGAGGGAAGAGATTCAAAAAATTAAGGTTGAGACTTGGGTGTCGTTGTGGGAGTTTGGAGAGTGGTCGAATGGGCTGTTAACACGTATTGACAAGTCAGTTGGGTCTACGGTTTGGTCCGGTAAACCGCGGTCTAGACCAGACCAGACCAAGAGATCAAATCATAAAATAATACAGACCATGGACCAGATCAGACCATACTTCACGGTCTATGATCCGGACCAAACTGTGCGGTAAGATTTGGACCACGATTTTTTCTTCTTTATGATTACTCTTGATCAGAACACGTGACTCCTTCTTTCCTTTGTATTTTTCTTTTTTACATTTGTTCTTAGAGTTATGATTTCCTATAATAAAAAACATAATATAGAAATTATTCCTCCTGTCTCTCTTTTCCCAGCTTCATATATGAAAAACAAAACGAACAAAAGAAACCTCGCACTTTCCCCTTCCTCTGCGTCGACGGTGGCCAGAGTCGTCGATCGCAGCGCGCCGTCCTTCCCCGTCGGTCCCCTCTCTCTCTATTCTCCGACGACCAAAGCGATCACCCCTAGTTCTTCTGCGAGCGCTTTCCCCTTCCTCTGCGTCGACGGTGGCCAGAGCCATACATTTTTCAATCGCAACCGTCCTTCCCCGTCGATCCCCTCTCACTGTATGAAAAAGGACGAAAACAAAAGAGAGAATGAAAAAGAAGGTGAAAATTGGAAGGGGAATATAGTATTAATCGATAATGTTTGAGAAAAGTAACAAATAAGGGGAAAAAGAAAATTGGAAGTATAGCGAGTGTGATTTGGCTTTGTTTAATTTTTTGTCCTTTTTTACTTATGTTAGTAATTACATATATATCTTTATGACACTTCTAACAACAACAAATAATTATTTTTCTACTTGTGTTTTGTAATATTTGAACTTATAATTTTTTATATTTATTTTCTATCAAATAAATATTATTTTCGTGTCATATCCGTTCTTATACTCGATAAAGTCTCGAAAATATTAGGCCCGACACGGCCCAATTATATACCTTGCCGTGCCCATGCTCGTGCCCATGAAGTTTAGGCCCGGCACGGCCCATAAATTGTTCGTACTCGTGCCGGGCTGACCCATTTATTTCGTGATCGTGCTCGTGCCATGCTGGTGTGCTCTAACCGTGCCGTGCTGTGCTAGCCCATGAGCCGCACGGCCCGGTGCCCACGTACCAGTGCCAGTATATATTTCGTGGTTTAAATGTAAACCCACTGGCATCATATGGATTCCATAACATAATGAGCATTCAAATCAGAAGAGCTATGGATTTTACTATAATATATCCAATAAAACACACTCATATGCTGTACTAATAATTATATTACACTGACTCTCTAATTCGAACACTAGAATGTCAACAGCAACACAATAGATAATAAGGCGAATAATCGATGGAACCCTTTATAATGTGATAAAGCATTTGGTCACATGCATACCCTTTAAATGTCTTATCACATAAGCTTAAACATTCCTTTTCTCTGAAGAGTCATCGTCCTGTCAGAGGTAGGGTTCAATTTCACACTCCGATGACCATTAGTAATAATGGTGTGAGCAGTACCAACAACACTTTTCTTTAACAGTAGGCGCTTCTGTGAGTTTCGAGGCACCAGTATGGAGCCCATTCTTCAAAGGTAATTAGGTTCAATTTCACTCCTCTGTCTTTCTATGATCTTTCAATGTCGCTTCAAGTAATTTCGCGGTTATTGTCTGCAACCATAGCTCTTATATCATAGTGAAAGCTAAATACATGGCCAAATGACAATTTTATTACTTTAAAGAAAATAAAAGTTGAAGTACAGAATCAACGAAAAAAAAAAAAAAAAAAGTCTAAGTACTTTAAGCCCAGCTACCAAGCTCGACAAGTGAGCAACAACTTTAACCCGATTCCGCTGAACAGAGTTGCGTCAGCCCAAGTTCAAATCTTCGCTTCAGCAAAATAATAAATACTTGAGCTATGTACAAAACTCTGTGGCATCGAACTTTTGTTTTACCCCGCAACAGTTTTGGCCTTGGTGCGCATTATATTCTACCTATAGTTGTACCCATTAAACGCATGAAATGTTTTCCTTTGTTGCTCCAGTACTCCTGCCTCATAGCCGCTTTGAGACCTGCAATCATAATGGCTCTTAGCACCTTCCACCGATAAGCAAGGCTCTTAGCAACTAACTCATTGATGCAACTTGTCGCAGATTATCCAGTGTGTATATATGTTGGATAGTTTTCAAATTTCAATACCCCATGACACTGGATACAGGTTGAATTGAAGAAACTCTATTCCTGCTGTTGTGCTTCAACAAAACTAGGTAGAGTAGATCTTGAGAAGTAAGTTGAAATAGCCGACCAACGATGCAGGCACATGCAGCAGCACTGTGCAGAAAATCGAACAATGCATGTGTTAGTTAGTTAGTTAGTTAGTGTGCAGCATATATTGAGAAGGGTAGTCGTTAAGTTCTTCACCTCCCAGAACATTTCTCACTATAGCCTGAGCATGCATTGATTTGCTCGTTTTTTTGGTTTGTGTGTCAGCATTGAGTAAGGATCGGAGAACTTTAATTACCTGCTCAAAGTCATCAATAGAACTACCCACATGAAAGCACAAAACCAACTTGCGTCCTTACAGGCAAGCCACACCTGGATTAAGAGCAAACGGATACAATTGAAGAACACAAGGTACGTAAAAACTATATATAAAATCTGAGCCTGGCAAAAGGAAGGAATCATTTAATTAGACTCACCGAAAGAGCGAAAACGTTAACTTGGAAGGAGATTAGTGTTGCCAAAAACCACCTACAACCACGTTAGCAGCATCAAAAGACGACCATTCAAATTAATGATGAAGTGAATATGCACCAAAGACAAACAAATCATAAGAGATTACCATTAATTCCTGATCAATAACTAAGATACATTAATTAGAGCAGCAGAGTCGGGAGGCCAGGTAACTCTGTTCATCAGCTGCTGAAGCTCAATGTATACCAACGCAGCAGAATAAGATTAAAATGCATTGGAAAACTTACGGAGTGAAGACCTCTTTACTGAAAGGATGAGCATCATTCACATCAAAGCAAATGAAAGCTCCTATCACCAAACAACCCAAAATCGCGAAAACGATTCTTTTAGCAATGACTGCAGAGTGCTTCTTATCTTGTTCCTGTTGGCTCCTACAAGTAATGCGGACCAATAAATTAAATCAGTGACTAAAAGGTAAAGAAAACATGCTTAAGGATGTATAGACCGACCACTGAAGCTTAGTGAGTTGGAACCAAAAGGTAACCACAGGAAAATGTTCTCTCACTTTCGTCTTCTATATATAACTCAATTGATATAAAACAAAAGTGACCAGTACTCTAGTTATCAAAATAAAGCAGAATATTCAGTTAAGATCTGCATCGCGAGAAACGTAACACAAGCCAGCATGCAACATCAAAAGCCTTATCACCGGAACTACGTACACACTGAGCCATCCGCAGTCACGGTTCGAAATTGAAGAGGATTGATGAATAAATTAAATACACAAACAGTAATGACTGCCTGTAGTTTTAAGACAAAAGGCAGAAAGAAAAACAAAATAATCATGTCATGAGAACGGGTTTACTCTAAGAGGCCAATGAAGTTAAGGAGCATGTACTTGTTTCCGTGCAGCAACAGTACATTACACATAGGGTCTGCTTCAGATCCTTGAGTTGAGAACTTGAGAAATAGAATGCAGATATAGGCGCAAGTCGCAGTGCTGTACGTACATGATGAACCCAAGGAGAAACAAACATATGTCAAGTATCGGTCACCAACAAAGTCGATCCAAGGAATGAAAGCAGCAAATTAAAGCCACCTAAGTTCTCAAGATCTTACCCTAAACCGGTAGATAGTAAAAGGTAGTATTAATGAAAAAATAGGTACCTTTCTGGTTCCGGCTGAGTCATGACATGTGATAATTTCAAACTAATTTAAGTTATATAATATGAGTACAACATTATTCATATTTGTTTTGAGTATGCTAATCTTGTATGTATATGGTTCAATATTTTTGTACAAGAATTATAAATAAAGATAACGATCACAAAATTTATGAGATTTTCTTTTCTTATGTGAACGATATTATTCAACGGAGCCCTTAGAAGCA